TACAGTTGCAAGAAAAGTATGTGAACCCTTTGGAACTACCTGGATTTCTGCATAAATTGGTCATAAAATGTGTTCTGATCTTCATCTAAGTCACAACAATAGACAAACACAGTCTGCTTAAGCTAAAACCACACAAACAATTATATGTTTTTATATTGAACACACCATGTAAACATTCACAGTGCAGGGTGGAAAAATGTGAACCCTTGGATTTAATAACTGGTTGACCCTCCTTTGGCAGCAATAACCTCAACCAAACGTTTCCTATAGTTGCATATCAGACCTGCACAACGGTCAGGAGGAATTTTGGACCATTCCTCTTTACAAAACTGTTTCAGTTCAGCAATATTCTTGGGATGTCTGGTGTGAATCGCTCTCTTGAGGTAATGCCACAGCATCTCAATTGGGTTGAGGTCAGGACTCTGACTGGGCCACTCCAGAAGGCCTATTTTCTTCTGTTGAAGCCATTCTGTTGTTGATTTACTTCTGTGCTTTGGGTCGTTGTCCTGTTGCATCACCCATCTTCTGTTGAGCTTCAATTGGTGGACAGATGGCCTTAAGTTCTCCAGCAAAATGTCTTGATAAACTTGAGAATTCATTTTTCCCTCGATGATGGCAATCTGTCCAGGCCCTGAGGCAGCAAAGCAGCCCCAAACCATGATGCTCCCTCCACCATACTTCACAGTTGGGATGAGGTTTTGATGTTGGTGTGCTGTGCCTTTTTTTCTCCACACATAGCGTTGTGTGTTCCTTCCAAACAACTCAACTTTGGTTTCATCTGTCCACAGAATATGTTGCCAGTAGTGCTGTGGAACATCCAGGTGCTCTTTTGCAAACTTCAAATGTGCAGCAATGTTTTTTCTGGACAGCAGTGGCTTCCTCCATTTTATGACCAACTTATGCAGAAATCCAGGTAATTCCACATACTTTTTCTTGCAACTGTACATGAAATGGCTATTGTGGGGAAAAAAAGATATTGATTACATAATAATTTTTAGAATCTAAACGTTATCTAGAATAGAAAAGAGAGGCCATAACCCTTATATTGTGGCATGGTCAAATATGTACATTTATATTCGACATCGTTCTTTCAAACTTTCATATCTCCATTTCTGATGATGGCAACATTTGCCCTCCACAGTACCTATCGCTGCGTGTTAAACATAACATGCATGTGTAATATCCCCATACAGTAATTCTCCATTCGAATCGTGTTAGCAGACAGTACAGCTGACTCTGGTGACAATGCTATCAGTACATGTCAGCTGGCTATTGAGTTGCAAAATATTTCTCCCCATCAGCATGATTTGTTGAGCATGGGAACATCTAATTAGCCGCCATCATTGGGGATGGAGCCTGACTGACGTTGATGCACTCCTCGTCTACGCTTTCCGTCCCATAATTCCTAGACTCACCCGCCTTTCATTTTCGTTTATTTTGCCCATCACTTTCATGTTCATCCTTTTAGCTGTGGTGCTGCAGTGTGACGTGAAGAGACATACTGTATTTAACCTTAGGCTAAATGCGGAAGTCTTGTATACGCTGAGGACAGCAACGTTACGCTTACGTCAGACTAACGCAGATTTGTGCTTGATTTGTTTGTGCTTCTGGGCATTGATACAAATGAGGACAGAATCATCTTGATGTATTTACAGTATGTTGCACTCCCTTTAAGATGAGGTCAGCTGTGAAGCGTGTGCTAAGTGCAGTCATTTGTAGCATTTCTATTTGTAGTGTACAGTTAAATATATCATTTCTCAACTAATTCATGTAAATAAAGTGTATTGCAGCCAGTCAGAAAGACCACAGTGACCAAGCTGCATGGGATCAAGGGTAATTAAATCAACAGAGGTCATCTATTCCTGTGCTCGAGCTACATTTGCCCAGACAGGCGGTACATCTCGGCTTCTGCTGGCAATAACAGCGAAACGGGGGGAACTGAATTATAATTTAATCAATACCAATTCATAGCTGTCCAGGAGCAAAAAAATTGCCTTAACTCACATGAAAAACTCACCGATAGGTAAATCATAAAATATTGGTGTATTTACAGTGTAAAGTAAACATAGATCACTGTCCACACGGGAAAATCTATATGGACATCTGCAGTGAGACTGTGAGGTTATTTCTCCAGCTCAATTCTCTTCCAATTAACATTGCAGCTATAAGTCCGTCCTGCAGCCTCATTTTTCATTTTTAAATGTGAAATCCATTCCTTAAATCTTTTAGGGGGGGATTTTGTTTTCTCACTGCCTCAGGAATAGATTAGTGTTGTGTTCCAGATGGATGTTAGGGTTCAGATGGGTGTGTGTGTCAAAGGAGTGACGTATATTGGTCAAATTGACTGTTTGACTGCGTATTGGGTAATATCAAAGCTAATAACTAGTTTTAGAGGATCTGGTAATAAAAATAGGATTTGAAACTCCAAACCACGTCTTTTTCTGACCATCAAATTGAGATGTTTACATGACATCAGTTTGACAGCTGATATTTATGTGTCATGAACCACGCATTGTGAACACATTCTGTGGTTGCTAATTTACTGACTGGGCAGATTCTAGTTACAATTGAATACAATAAGATCAACATTATAGCTGGAAAGTGGTTAGCATATTCAAGTTGTTAAATTAGGGATTTCTGGGCATACATTGTTCCTTTTTTGTGTCTTTTGTGGAAATTGTGCAAATTTGTTCCCGCAGTATGACCACAGTGATTTAACCTAAGTGCAGGTTCATACTGTACATGCATGGATAAAAACATGAAGGAAATGTGTGTATATATATATACAGTATATATATCTCTTTCTGCGGTTTGGTTATTACCGAATAACATGTGTTATTTAAGGCTTTGTGCAAAATTAAATGTCAAATTAGAAAAAAAACAAATAAGGATTGTGTTCTTAATGTTTTTAACTCGTTACCAACATCCAGTAGATGCAACACAGGTTAATAGTCACACATACAGTAAGAAATATGTGTCTAAACTGTCTGATTATACTGACCCTCATGACATTTGTAAACATTACCACAGCACCAATACAAATTCTCTCTAGCTAACTTACCATGTCAAATATGCAGTGGCTCTTTAATAGGTTGTATATCCATTTTCCTTGTTGTCTTCTACATCCGTGTGGCTTTTTAAAACCGTGATGTTCTCGTTGCTCAGGCTCTTCTACCTTCTGTGACGCCCCCGAAGGGTCTCACTTTGTGATAACCACAGCTCTCGCTATATGGTCACAGCTATCAATCATTTTGAGTTTGACATATCCATTTGTACCCATCAGTATGAGCGTTAGCAGTGCCAGGTGCAATATACCAACAAAATAAATCTAGTTCTTCTGAAAAGTGTGTTCCATACATACACCCACTTATGATTGGAAGCATTTAGGATGCATTAAGCCAGCATTACACTGGCAGGTATTGTATAGACATAATTATAAAGACAATATGCACAATTTGATTTCAAGCTGGGCTAAGATGTCATTCATTGTGTTTGACAGGGTAATGCATAGCGGCGCCTGCCTGCAGGGTAAAGACATGTGACAATCTATTCAAGGCTGGTTGGCTAAGGCGGTCAGATTGATCACAATGGGAGCAATCTTCTTTTTGTCCCCAGACTCTTGTTTGGGTTCTGTTAGAGAGCAGTTTAAGCTGTTCCAGTCGTGTCTATCAGAGCACACTGCGCTAAACCTCTCACTTGTGGGTAGCTGGCAGGAGTAAACATACCATATTTGACACACAGGAGGCACAGAACCAGTGTGCAACAGTCACTTAAAGATGTGCCCCTTCTCCTCTGGCACACACTGACCTTATTACATTGTGCCTCAGTGAGAGAGTGGTTGTAGAGGACCCTAATCCATCTTTTACAGCTGATACTGTAGCTTTAACACAGTGTGTGGCTTCGAGACATGTGCAGACATAGCTTGGCTGTGACTGCGTTTGTGTCTGGGTGTATGTAGTTGTGTGTTAATGTACCCTACCAGGACACATCAAGCCAACTCGGTGGATATGTTTAAACGACAGCTAAAGACACATCTTTTTAGATGAGCTTTTTATTAGCAACCCCCCACTTTAAATGTTATTTTAGTCTTTATTAATTACCTACTTTTATATTGTTTCATTTATTTTATAGGTTTTAATCTTTTTATTTTATTTCTGGTGTACCTATATGTTCACTTTGTTTTATATTTTATATTGATGCATCGACTCAGCTCTTAACAAATAATCTGAGGGGAATTTCTTGTTTGTTTTTAACTTTTTGTAAAGCACTTTGAGCTGCACGTGTTGTACGAAAGGTGCTATATAAATAAAGATTTATTATTATTATAATGTGTGTGTATTTGTCTGTGTATATGTAGTTGTGTGTTTATGTGTGTGCATGTGTTTGTGTTTGTGTATAATATGTAGTTTTGTGTTTATGTGTGTGCATTTGTACGTGTGTTCTGTGGGTCCTTTGGAGTCCATTAGCAATGTTTCTAACTCAACCATGCTGAATGTAGCAGGCAGGATTAATGTTGTAGAGGCAGATGTTAGCAGCATCCAAAACGTTGGGCAGAGAATGCAGCAGTGTCCTCTTTTTTGAGAGAAAAAACTCCCAAAAAAAAAACTGTTGTGTCTCTATTTGACCGTGGGTTGGCCTGGGGGAAAAAAACAAATCTCAGCGATTGGCAGAAACAGGAAGCTAACCCAACTCCACCTCCTTGATGAGCTCCTGATATGAGTGCAGATCAGTGTTAACACCGGCAGCCACGTGGCGCTGTGGCTTTTGCACTCTGTTATGCATCGCAGAGCAGAATGATCCCCCAGATGCAGAAGAACCAGAGCCAAATGTGTACTATGTAGGGCAAGATGAGAAGCGGGGAATTGGGCATAACTAATATCATTGATGTTTGTGGAGAAAACCTAATCCTGTGCTCATGATAGTAGTATTTACTTGCAGCTCTTGAGGGCATTAGCAGTGTCAGTGTTTTCCACACATTGCTAATGTAAAAATCATTGAATGCGGTGATATGTTGGTCCAATAACCGTGTTTATGCTATTGACTGAAAACGTGACTATTAGTGTGACATTCATGTGGTTCAGTGGTTGGATAAACACAGTTTTCTTGCGTTGACTCTGAAACCCAGACAGGAAAGTAATAATATGAGTTTGCTCGATTTGAATACAGTTTGTTGTACTTATAAATGTGTGTGGGTACATTTGCCAATGAAAAACATACACCAATATACATCCACTGTAAAAGTACACAATAATATGCAGTTGAATTGTGGCAAATTCCTTCATAATTTCAATTAATAAAAATAATAATGAACTTTATTTGTATAGCACCTTTCATGCACAAAGCAAGTGCTTTACAGAAAACATAATAATATTAAAATAAATACAGAACAAGATAAAACATCTAATGCTTATCATGTAATAAAAACATATATATTATTTTATTTGTTTAGCACAAAATGTATTTCAGTAAACTATTTGGGTATTTTTTATATGATTTAACAATTGCCACATTGTGATTTGACTGACTTCTTTTCTTGAGGGATTGTGTTGTTGTTGTTTTGTAAAATAGTGAGAAACGCCGAGCACATCTTGTCATTTCTCTTCTTTGTTTTGTCCGACCAACAACATGAAACCCAGAAACATTTCCTGTAATTTACACGGAGGAGAAACAGAGAGGAAGCACTTATAGTTGTGGGAAGACAGATCAGATAGATGAAGCAGCCATGGGGTTGCTGAGAGTCTCACATAAAGCTAACGTAAACTCTAAAATAAGATAATGTGCCGGAGGCTGATGTTTCTTTGCTCCTGAGGTGACAGAAAATGACGGTGTTTCCAGAAATGTTGATACTTTGTGTCAAGTGTTAGTCGAGTGTAATGTATAAAGAGAATTTAGTTTCCCTCCCCACAGTCGCTCATCCTATAATCACGTATAATCATGTTTAAATGGCAATGGCATCTCCTTTAAGACTAAATTGCTAGTCTACAGCAAACATTATGATATTCATGAGGAGTCTGCATTTAATGCTGTGCTTATTTACAAACTGAGCTATTTATTTAGATGAAGGTTGCTTCTTCTCAGTTATCTTTCCGCAGAATCATTACTGTTTATCTTAAAGGAAAATGCTGGGAAATAGAGATGAATAAAGGCTGTTAGGGTGGTAAAGATTTCATAAGCAAGTAACGAACACCGTGACATGCTTACTCAAAGGACAATTGTTTTTTTATACTTTGTACGAATTACCTTCTAAAATGACTCTTCTCAGCTGATATGACCATTATGAATATTTGAAAGCATGTCGAGCAAATGCATGTACACAAGTTATCTTTTACTCTGTAAGATATTATATATTTTAATTCCATTCAATATTGAAGTGCACTAAAGTCATGTTTCCTTTATGTAACATGCAAGAGATCTAAATTACTCAAGGACATAAGCCTCCATTTATACAATGTGCAGACAAGACAATGATGTTACATCCCCACTTACCCACTACCAGTGAATTATGCATGTCACTATGGCCCTGTAGTGGTGATGTCATCAGCCACACCTGCTATCATTTTTGGCAGACTGTTCGCAAAAAAAACCCACCTTAAGCTCAATTACTCACAGGCAAGGGCTCATCTCAGGACGGTATTTTCTATGTATTGTCACGGTTCCAAGTAACACAGTTAAACGTAATTACTTTTTCATTGGCACCGGTCCTAAAGGGGCATGTAGATGATTTCAAAGAAGATACGCTTTTAAACACTTCGTTGACAAGCAGAGGCTCTTGTGGGTTTCTTTTTTATCCCCACTTACTTGCCATCTTTCTTTATTACTGTTTAATAATCACATTATGTTCTCTCAAGGTACAGTTCAAACACCCCTTTCTAAATGTGTAATGTCCTGCATCATCGTAGAGGAAGCCAACAGTCTGTGTTGTCTCTGTCTAGCGCTGGCAGTCACTTAAAAAAAGGAGGAGAGCTCTAATGAATAATACAAGTCATAGAAATGTCTCGGGTGATTCAGGAAGGAATTGTTTAGATGACTTTCAAAAGCTTCAAGACTGCCAGGATGATCTTAGTCAAAGTATTTGGGCAGTTATCTCTCATCCGCTTACAAGTTGTAAAGTATAAAAGAAACATTAAATATCATCATTCTGGGAAATACCTTTTACTCAGACAAGTCATTATTACAGTAGATTACAAATACTACCGCCAAAATAATAATTTGTATATCAGTAATTCAGTCTTTGTGACCTTGAATTACCAATACAACATAATGAGGCTAAAAATAAACCGCATGAGATGTGTGAGGGTTTCTAAATGGCTATTTTCTTTCAATTTGTCAGGAGACATTACTTTTAAAATTCCAAGTAGAATGGGTTGAGTAAGTGGCTCATATATGTGGATGAATTAAGCAATCAGTGTATGATTGCGATTCTGTTACACTAACTATCATTGTAATCAACAATATCGTAAAATAATTTCATAATGTGGGCTAATTTGCTCCCAAACCTACGCTTTCTGCTTGAGTTAATCTCCGTCAGAAAGTAGTTCCTAGAAAGTAGTTCCCATGGTAACGATAGCCTTTTTTCAAACGCACTCAACTCGTCAGTTGAAACCGCCGCAAATCTTTCGTTGGTTTTGTGGTCTGTGTCCATGTCCAACCATTCATCAACACTGAGGCCCCCCAACAAATCAAAATTAAATTTAAAATCTGACATTTTGTAGCTACTGATTTCCAACGAGAGACAATGTATAACAGTGTAACGGCTGTGTGTCGCTAAACGTCGCTATGGAAACCACACGATGCAGGCTCATGGAAGTAGTTTCGGTAGGCTAGTGGCGTGTGTAGGCCACTGGATACTTTGTGATTAGGCACGTTCTATTTGATCGTTGTTTGATCGTGGAATCGAACACGCCTATTGACCAATCAGAGAGCTTGCTCAAACCTATGTGTTATAGAATTACTCTTTTGAAACCCAGAAGCATAACAATAAACGGTATAACAACTGTGTTTTGATTAGATTGACTACAGCTCAAATGCGGGAATCCAAAACTAAACTTGCCTTTAAAAGATTCTTATTTTTATGGTAGCCCCTGGAGATATCACTCATGACTATGGGGCATGACTCATATTTGTTAACAGAAACATGGTGCCAATAACAACCCAGCTGCAGTATTAGCTGGTTATCTAAATGTCTCTCACTCTGCGGAACAAGGGCTGTTGATGGCACTCTTACAAGATCCAAATGAATTGATGATGTTTAGCGAGTCCTCTGCAAACACACCAGATGATCACCACAAACAAAGCTGATTGATGATAACGTTATCTCCCCATATGAGGCGTGTTAAACTAGCTTACATTTACAGATAACACATTAAGAACATTTCTTCGTTTGTTTTCTTTTAGTCCAGTCTGAAAGTACCTAAATTATTAAACGTTAGATGGAGGGGAAGCCATAAGGTTGCTTGCTGAGGTTAATATTACACAATGCACATGGTTAGGGTTATTCAGCTTTGAAATTGCAAATCTTATGAATATTTAACCTATACTGACTGCTGGTAAAAAATTCATCTTTATTTTTCAAGAGCTTAAAATATTATTTTATTCAAAACATAATAGAACTGCCAGTATATTTTTGCAATTGTGCGACCACATACACACGCCCGGGGAAAGAAAGTACACACGCCCGGGGAAAGAAAGTACACACGCCCGGGGAAAGAAAGCATAAAGAAATCTCTGAAGATGAAGAGGAATACATTGCCTTCAGCAGGATCCCCCCCCACCCCTCGCCCCTCTCTCACGTGTCCGTCTCCTCTCACCCCTTTTCTTTCCCCTCTGTTATCTCTAGTCCTTTGAAACAGCACCTGTTACAGACTCGCAGCTTGGGAGCACCGTCATGATGTAGCGTTCACTCCTGCGTGATACACTGCCAGCTCCCAGATCCAATCCAACCCAGCTGATGTGCATGGCGTACGGGCTGGGACGTCTTCATCCTCTAAGAGCTTAATGAGTACAGATAGGGAGCACCAGACCAGAACATTGTGTGCTGCGTTGTGCCATGCGCCGGAAATATTGTATTTGTTTTTTGCTAGTTACTCCAGATGACATTTGATAGTCAGAGTTGGGAAGTAGTTGAGTTACTTAATTTAAGGTCTCCTATTATACAGTTTTTCATCAATATATTATAGGTCTCAGATATATAGAAAACATGTCTCTGAAGTGTTTGCCTCGATACACCAAACAGATCATTGCAGCATCCCATAATCCCCTCTGTTACTTACAGCCCTGTTCCAAAAGTGCTGATTCTCTGTCTGTTACTTCAGATGAAAATAAGGAGCCACTCCCCACGCCCCTCTGAGAGATATTTGGTTATGGGTACTTTTTACTTAAGTACATTTCAAAGCCCATACTTCTTTACTTTTACTTGAGTAAAGAAGTTTAGTCAGTACTTCTACTTTTACCAGAGTATTTTTAAACACGAGTATCTGTACTTCTACTTGAGTAAAGGGTGTGTTTACTTTTGCCATCTCTGTTGATGTGAGGCTGTGTAAGTGTGTGTTTATCTTGATGAAAGAATCAGCTACAGCAGCCTTGTTTACTGTCTTAGCTGATGAAAATGTAATGATCCCTGCAGCATAATGGGGAAATTGCAGCAGCTATTATGCCAGGGTGCAGCTCAAGAAAATGCAATGTGCTGTAATTACTATTCACCAGCAAGACGTTTCCAGGATAATATCCAAAAAGCTGGGAAACCTTATAAAAGGAACCAGGGCAGTATAACCTTACTTCACTTTATTCCCAAAGTGTTTACTATAACAGTAAAGTGCCTCATTAGTCACAACCCTAATGAAGCTGTAATTAACTGTAGTTGAGTTAGCAAGTGCAATATCTGAGACAAACAGTAGCTTGACTGACAATCTAGATTTTAATCAGTGTTATAGCGCTGTATTTATCATACATCACGCTTTTCATGTCCCCAGCAAATGAAATGGCTTTATTAATGCTCTGTTTGGTCATCAAAGTAATTAAGTCTACCTCAATTTATGATGCCAATTATTGAACTGCTAGGCACGCATTATGTTTGTATCCACACGTTCTCTGTTCTTTTCATAGAAAGAGAAATAGCTCTTCGACAGATTCCTTCTAGCTTTACCTCGTTCTAGCCTCTTCTCGGTATAGCATTAAAGTTTTGAACACATTCGCTTCCCGGCAGCCGCATATCACTCTTGTAAGTAAACAGCTCTCACGCAGTAGTAGACATCCATCACATTCGCTCAAGGTATAATTCATGTCCGCAGTACCATCCCGGCTGCACTGCTGCAAAAGACAGATAGAGATATGTATGGTTGGTGCGATAACGGCAGAAGACTGTCTTTATTGTAGGCTATTTGGCCTTGTATCATGTTTTTGTTTTTTTTATACCATGGAACAATCTAAGCAGATTGCAGCCAACTCATAGCCTATTCTTCCCTCGTGCACCATCAATCACAATGAGAGAAGTGTCAACCTCTGATTACTCTTTGATATTGAGAGTGAGCAGAGATGCATGTGTGGGAGTGAAAGCGTGTGTGTGTGTGTGTGTGTGTGTGTGTGTGTGTGTGTGTGTGTTTGTGCGCGTGTGTGTGTGTGTGTGTGTGTGTGTGTGTGTGTGTGTGTGTGTGTGTGTGTGTGTGTGTGTGTGTGTGCGATGGGTGTAATATGTTTATGTGCGTGCTTCTTATTATAAAAGAAATTAGATCACTGGAGGTCTACATTTTTTTCTGCTCATAAAAAATGGATTTCAGTTAGACATCCCAACCTTCCCAATGGTAAAAATTATGCTGCGGTAGAATGAGAATGCAGCTTAAATCAACTGCATGCCCTCAGCCTTTTTCCGTATTTATAAAATGGAGGAAAATAGGTGAATATCATGGACTGCAGCAGGTGCTTTCTCCAAAATGAGAAAATTAAAATACCACAGTATACACCTTCCACACACAGGGAACGATTTTTTTTTCAATATTTAGCAATTAACTTTATACCATAGTTCATCTGTGCTAACCATGCATATGCAAATCTTCTTTTTTTTATGCGTGACTTGTAGGTCAAGTTATGGAAATTAGGGGTAACGCGCAATTCAGTAATACTTAACATCATCAACTGCACCAGTTGCTTTGCAATGTGAGATGTGGCGGTGATTCAAAAGGCGTTTTGCGGTGTGAGGAATGTGTCTATTGAGTGTGGCAAGAACCCCCGCTGCCAAATAATGATTGCCTTTGATAGTGAGACTGAAGAAAGTAATTTCCAAGAAGCCAGGTGATTAAGGGAAAATGGATCCGGTCCAACATTATCTGCGTTTCAAATTATTTGTGCATACTTTCTGTTAACTTCCCAATCATCATGTTTACATTACATGGAGTGCCAAGTTTAAGTAGCATGCAGTTTCTCTTCCACATAGTTTTAGTAGTATTTCTAAGTCAGTCGTTTTATGCCTGGATAAAAAAATATTTATTACATTTTGGCAACCTGAGCTAACAAGCTGTTTATAGCAATTTCCTGCAGTTTAGGGATAGCCAGCTTCGGTTATGAAGCCTAGTCATATAGGCCAGATAAATCAAGACGTGCTGTCGGAAAGCTTTTTGGATCGAGAGTTGGGAAGTTATTGGGCTCTCCCCTTTCTTTTTAGGTTTCATTATAATAAAGTTGAACTCTACAGGGTGCTACATGTTCTTATCAAAGCTACTCGATTCCTTAGAAAACAATTTGACTCCATTATAATAGAATAATTATCTTCATCTTACGGTAGTTCGGAATATAGTCACTTTAAAGGCAAGGCAAGGCAAGTTTATTTATATAGCACCTTTCAGCACGCGTCAATTCAAAGTGTTTTACAAAATCAAATAAGACATTTAAGAATAAATATAGCAGCAACACATTATATAATGGCATTTTACAACAGGCATTTAAAAAGCAAAGATAAGAAATTAAACACAACAGTTATACAATACATGAATAAAATGCATTCTGCAGTGCGAATATGAACAGCTCAATTTAAAGCAGCGGCAAAAAGATATGTTTTCAGTCTCGATTTGAAAATAGTAAGAGTTTCTGCGGACGTGCAGGTTTCGGGCAGTTTGTTCCAGAGTGTCGGGGCATAATAGCTAAACGCTGCTTTTCCATGTTTTTGTTCTTACTCTCGGAACCGAGAGCAGACCCATCCCAGAAGACCTGAGACACCTTGATGGTTCATAGTTATGCAGGAGATCGTTAATATAACGACCGTAAACCATTTTGTGATTTAAAAACGAGCAATAATACTTTAAAATCAATTATTTGGCCGACTGGAAGCCAGTGTAAAGACTTCAGAACCGGACTGATGTGATCCACTCTTTTAATGTTAGTGAGGACTCGAGCAGCAGCGTTCTGAATCAGCTGCAGCTTTCTGATGGATTTTTTTGTCAGCCCTGTGAATACACTATTGCAGTAGTCGAGTCTACTAAAGATAAAAGCGTGGACAAGCTTTTCTAAATCCTGTTGTGACATTAGTTTTTTAATGCCCAAAACTCTTGTAGCAATTCTCACAACACACTACTTCACTACCACCACAGTAGCAATAGCTCATATGGACTTATTTACAGGACATGTGGAAGCTAATTTGCGTGGGCGTTAGATATTAAATGAAAAGTCAGGTTGACATGATTACATTCTCGTTCCTTCTTTCCTCCTTGAAAAACCCGTCCCTCCCCTTGCACTCACACTTTTCTCCATTTTTACTCACGCTAATTAACAGGCAGGGTGGTGATGAGTAATGAGGCAAAGCTGCCCTCCCCTCCATCATCCTCCAGACATCAGAGGTGTGTTTTCTCTATGACTTGAACATGTGTCAAAGGCCGCTGGGTAGTCGGAGGCAGTTCTGAAAAAGTAGGGGTAATTCTGCAGCTCCAAGTCTATAGCTTCTGCTCACACACACACAGCTGCTGCGAAATGTAAACACACATCTGTACGGAGACTGTCGCATGTGCCCTGACTCCCACACACATCTGGGTTAGATTTGGAATAATTACATCAATGAGGGAACTCACCAAACACGCACATAAATTAATACAAGCTTTTTCTTCCTCCATTTCTCTCATTGGAAGATAGACACTCAACACACATACTCAAAGTGTGTCATTATCTAGCATTGTTTATCCTCCTTTCCGATGCCATGTTCACTCAAACACATTTACAAAGCATTGTTTGCATCTCATTGAGGGGTGCTGATCTTGTTTCACAGTGCTACGAAGACGGCAGGAGGGGGGAGAGGGATGAAGATATAGACAAACAGAAAGCAAGCCCAGACGTAAACAGATATCCAGACAGGCATTTTGCCTCTGGGTTCGTGTTTCAGAATGCTAAAAAGGAGTCTCGGCTCACCCAGGGATGAAAGGTGCGATGTAGGGCGACGGAGCCCAGCAATGGGAGGGGAGGCACGATTTACCCTTGAGATCTGAGAGGGTGCCTTGTGCTCCTCCCTGATTTTTTACCGTACATGATTGGCTGTTTAAATCTGATGACAAAAAAGGGACAGTGCTTTTGTTTTATACCAAAACAAAGAAATAGGATTTGTAGATTCCCTGTTTCCTGTGATATGCGTTTGAAAGCCAACAAAAGCTTGACATTGAATGTAAGAATCAGAATAGATTTGTAAAAAGTCCAGATTCTCCTCGGACACCACCTTCATCATAAACTACTATTTATATTTGTCTTCTTACTAGGTAATTAATCTGATATAATTGCGTTATTCATTTGCATTGGTATTTATGCATTGAATGTCATGCTGTTGACAAATGTTCCATTTCCATGTGAAATCTGAGTCTGATTTATTACCTTGGTAAATAATGATGATTTTTAAATGGATATTTAGATTCCCAGTTTTCTCAAAGCCTCCATATCTGATCACTTTAACCATATTGGCCTATGTCTTTTCTTTTTCTTTTTGGTGGGTGCTTGTATTACGTTTCCATTTGATTCTATTCTTCTCACACATTTTTATTCTACTTCACTGTATCATGCAAATTATTAATCAAATCAGTCCTCCTGGCACACAATTGCACAGCTATTAAGAGCCAGGCTCTGAATACATGAATACATGAGGTATCATCTGAATTACAATAACGTACGTTTTGCCAACAATGAATGCTTCAATTTGACGCCCCACATATCTGTATTGCTCAGGAGCGTTTCCCAAAATATCTCCAGGATGCAGAAGTAGTCAGACTGATTGCTCTGTTAGTAGCACTGTTAACTTCTCCATAGGTCAACACAACAAAATAACATTGTGTATGTGTTTTTATGTGCGTGTAAAATAGAGTTACAGGCCACTGAGTTTGTCATATTTTTGAGTCTGATTTATTAATGGAAGTCTGGATGTGGGAGGGACGGGAGACAATCTAGTTCTTAGTGCCCTTGTTATCTTGCCTGAGCGGAGAAATACAGGTTTCTGTTGGTTTTGCTTATTACTTTGGAAATTAAATAACATAAAGTGTTTGAAGTGTAAGATTTAAAGGGTTTATTTCAAGGAGATTTTTCACACACCATTTAAAGGTGCAGTTAGAGAGGTTTTTACTGCCACATAACACAAAATGATTGTCTCAACGATCACGCCCTGCAGCTTTACAGCACTGCTGATCACCATGAAAGGCACTGAGATTTCAAAAGCTTTGCAAAGTCACTTTTCAGCACAACCATCGTTTGAAATCTTTCTTTGACGTTTTCATTATGTGCCTTTTAAAGCAGCTGTTATCAGTATCTTTTCTTATTACAAATGGCCATGTGGGCAGGGAGAGAAAGAGATCACTCGTAGTGAAGAACCCACTGTACTGTTTAAGTCATTATATTGGTTTTCTGGCATGCAACTTTACTCTGCACACTATTGGTTTCTTTAGTTTTCCCCCCTAAAAGAGGCTACTGAGAGAAAAAGTCACAATTATAAATCTCACTGCTACTTCAGCCCCTCGGACAGCGCCATGGATTTATCAATAAACAGCTAGGAGGAATATAAGAGCCATGGTTGGGGCCATAGATTCTAACATACATGAACCTCAGTCAAATAAAGGATCAATGAGTCAGGGGGACAAACATGCAACTAAACAACACCTCGGCTCATTCCCTTCTACGACTAAGGGATAGAGTTGGAACCTTTAGGTTAAAAAGGGGCATGCATTTTGGTCATTTTTCTGACAACAGTGATGGTATCCCTCCATTATCTTTCCTCAAATTGCCTACTGATGAAGAGTAAAATCACAACTATGATTACAATTAATATCAGAATCACATTCACCAGTTGGCTTGGAACACGAGTCCAGTTCATCATAATATTGCTCTTTGGCTGCCGGAAAAGCAGCTGCCAATGTGTTCACAGATGGTTTCTGGGGTTTCAAGTGTCCAAAAATGCAGTCAAAGCAGGTTACACCAAAGCAAATGATGTCTCAATCTTGTGCAAAGAAGTGGTCTCTTTTGGTTGACATGCAAGTGCAATTGTATGCCAAACAAGTACCACAATTGCACGGTGCAACCTAACATTTTCCTTTTGAGCCACGAAATCAACAAACAAGCCACAAACAGAAATAAAATGGACACCCAGTGAAACAAGCAGATGCTGGGCATTAGCACTACTCTCAGCTTTGAGCCAGCGTGAAATAAGAGGTGCGCATACCGTTCTGTATCCAATTTATTTTCATCAATTGCGCATCAACTCCATACTGCATTATAGCCAAAGGAGGAGGGATAAGAAGTGGCACATATTGGGCTGAGACACACAGCACAAAGGGAAGCTGCAGCTTGAGATATAAGACAAAGAATGGTGACAGTCTATCACATTCGTCACTCTTATCACCTCCCTTACCTCCAACTTTTGATCTCCACAGCTGCTCGGTTTGTTTTACATGGCTCAGTTGTTGTTGTTGTTGTTGACAGTGCTATTTTTTTTTTATTGTTCTTCGGGCTATCAGGTCGAGCTGAGCTGAGTGTGACCGAATGGTCTGCTTCTGCCTGTCACTCATCTTAAACATTACGGTGTATATGGGATCGGTGACACTGGTGGAAACGGGACGGACAGATATTGACGGATATTGACGGATATTGTGCGAGCGTAAATCCCTGCAGTTTACCTGCAATATGTCATCGGCCGATGCAATGGAGAAAATATAGACAAGTCTGACATATCGCTCACTCATGAACAAGTTAATGTTGAAACAGTCACATCAAAGCAAATCCCCCAGTTGTCTCCCCTAAGCCGTGAAAGAGCAGAGGGATGGATCAGCCCACTGGATGTTCTCACAGTATGGCTACTATTGAAGATAGGAATAAAAAATGCCTAAGTCCTCTTTGAAACAGAAACTGTTGAGGATTGTGCCAAACTAGGGCTGAGTGCAGAGGAGCAACTCCAAAACTTTGTGTTTCTGACCTGATTTTTGGAGCAACTTTTTGTACAAAGACATTTTGTATTCCGACAGTAGAGGTACACACAGGACTGGTAAAAATCCTGAGTCATTAACAAGATTTATACATGTATAATAATGTATAAAGATGGGGGTATTGCTGCGATATTGCAGATTTCCTAATTTCGGTGGATATATTTATGACAGTTGCTGCGGGATCTGCAGGCCTCCTCAGTGTGGGGATGTTTAGTTGGTGATGAAAGCAAATGTCTGGACCGTGCCAAATTGTTGTTTATATGAGTCTCCCAGCTATGGCAGCTTCCCTTCCATTGTAGATCTTCCGTGGTCTTCATCACGCCAAGTACTTCCCATCCCAGAACCCCGTTTCTTCCACTGGGACCTGGCATTCCTGTCAGTCATGTGCTATCAGTGAGGCTGCAGGCGCTGCTTATAGGCCTGCCCAACTATCTTCTCCTTCCTTTCTCTTTCTTCTCACCCCACCCCTCTCGACAGTCTCTGTGTATCTCCCTCTACCACCTCGGTCCTCGGCTAGCACTCCACTTTGTACCCTCCGTTCAGTCCCATTCTAGGTCCTCTCAACTTTGCTTATCTGAAAGTCTCTTCATTCTGTACTTTGGTACTTTTTGCTTGGTTTGTCTAACTTCTAATCTTGTTCTTTTCCCTCCCCCTCTCACAGGTGTAAGGAGGGCTACCATGGACTACGCTGTGACCAGTTTGTTCCCAAGACAGATGCTATCTTGTCAGACCCAAGTACGCTTTCCTTTCTATTTTATTATTCTAAAGTATATCGATCTGTGACATGATATAACAAGAACATGTTGCATGCCTGCGAGCAAAACTCTGGAAAATAGGGGTTAAGGCCCCAACCATTAAGACAAAATACCCGGTTCAAACACACCCGTACCTTTGTTGCATGTCCAACCAATTACTCTCCCTTGTTTCCTCTCAGTTCCCTAATGTCAACTCATTTATGGAGGCATAAAAAAGCCCAAAAAAAAACATATATAAATCTTCAATTTAATGATATTGTGATCATTCAAAAGCTAAGAGTATAGCATTTTCAAAAGATACAAGCATAAAAAACCGACTTTGATTTACAATTATTTGGCCAATTTGTTTTTTTACAGCCACTTGTGCTTGCTTGATACTTAAAGAAAACACTAGCATGAGCTACGAAGCTTTATGAGGTGATAATACTCTTAGAATTCCAGAATAAGAAATATTTTCTTAGCTTTTAGTTCTAATTATTTTAGGATTTATATTTCCATTTTCAGCCCATTTTTCACAGCATGTGATTACACGTACATTAATAGCTATCATTTTAAATGTTTTATTATAGAAATAAAGAATATTATTTGGTTACAAGACACTGTTGTTATGTGCGTCACAAGACTTGCTTTCTTTATTGGATGATTAAATACAGTTCCAGCATGCGGATATTAATATTAAACCCTGTGCATAAAGACTGCATCATTTACAGCAGTCTTTAATCTTGATTTAGTCTAGTAGTTACAAGGAAGGGAAGTTTCCAGTTTCCTATTGCTCATGAGAAACACTTACCCTGGAGTCTTTAAATTCCCATGACAGCTGTGTAGTAGTTAAAAAAGAAAGCAAAAGTCAGAGGTACAAGGAAGAGAAATTAGAGGCCCAGAGCCTTTCCCATAAGACGGTGGCTTTACAAATTTGCAGTGTTTTATGGATTGACTTGACTCCTCCGCACCGAGTCAGAGAGGAAACTTGACTCCTACTTCCTCCTGCGTGATGCCACCAGACCCACTGAGAGGCCAGTAATGGGGTCACAGGCCGTCGACACAGAGCATGTTTCCTCTCCCTCATGGCAGCCACTTTTCTGTATTTATTTTATCTTCTATAGGCAGGTATCCATTTTCATGCGTGTCCAGAACGGAAGATATTTGATATTGCCTTTTGAGATAGGCTGAATCATATTATGTTTTGCCCAAACATAGATACCCAACGAAACAAATCCATTATATTACAAGACATTTATAGAACATTTTCATTTAAAGAAAGTCAATAATACACTATGCCTCAAAAGGCAACATATAAAAGAAGGGTAAATATATCTCCATTGCAGCATCCAGGATGGAAGAAGGGAAGTGGATGGATTTTGTCAGTGGATTAAACATACAATAGACCTTTCAGGTGACAAAAAAAAACAGTGTTTCAGGGACGGCGAAGCCTAAATCAGTTTGATCAGCGTGAAGCAAAAACACATTAAGGGTAGGAACCTCCCAGAGGAAGCTTTAACTCTAAGCTGCAAAGCCATAGTGGCAGTGTTGCTGCTCTTGCTACTGCTCATGTGTTGTATCCACAGGCAACAAATCCCAGAATTCATCTTGACCCCTTAGAACAAAGCTATATCTATGAGCAGCCCCGGGTCACTGGTCCAATGTCTAAAAGGTGTAAACGAATGATCGAGAGTCGTTTTTTATTTCCAGATTCATTTGTTTTCAACCTTTTCTAAAGGCCTGTTAGGTTAACATTATCCAGTGACCTGAACAAAGTTATTGTGTTATGTTCTATCGTAAATTAAGACATTTTGAAAAAGATTGCCTTCACTTGGGTGCAGGAAGCTCTCCGTGCTTCACTATATAGTATAAACAATATGCTATGACGTCAAGTGCAGCCTTGCCAGACCTTTCCTGAATATTAAAATCCCATGGAAATCACAAATAGACCTTCTGCAATCTTCAACTATGGTTATTAGCTTTTGTTTTTATATAACTGAAGGACTCGGTAGCTTGGAGGCCAAACACAAATCTAACATGTACTTTTTCTCTGTAAAAGGTCAAGTTTTTCTTCTTTCACTTTTTTTCCTTTTTGTAATTCTAAAGCACGGTAGTTTTACTCAAGGACCAGCTTGAGATCTGGGTGTTCTCTTTCTGTTGGTTGAAGTTGTATGCATTTAATAGTAATTAATAATACAACTCATTCATCTTAAGAGTATATAGTTATTAATTAGAATAAATTGCTAGATAAATGAAGTTGACGGATAAGTGAACAGCAGATATCTATAAAAAAATGTAATGTTCAGAAACATTTTTGACATTGTCATGTTCAGAAACATGTCATGTCAGTAGCATTGTGTGCCGGGAACACACCCCCGACATCTTGTATCAAGAAAACAAAATGAATAATACAAGGCAGTAAACGAAGTGCCTTGTGAGAGCACTGCATGCACGCACCTGTTCGCCTCAGAGAGCTGTGTTTTGTCCACAATCGTTTAACCACCAACAGAGATAAATGTGCCCTGGAAGATTTGAGAGAGGAATGAAGCCTATTTTGATCTCTGTTGATACAGAATAATCTAAAATGTCCCCAGATTGCCAAGAGTTTTGGGGATTATCCTGCTTGCTAAAACCAAATCATATAATAACATACACACATACATGCACACTTACAACAACTGCAAGTGGATGAGTTCCAGTGACACTCAATTCAACGTTTGTGTGTGTGTGTGTGTGTGTGTGTGTGTGTGTGTGTGTGTGTGTGTGTGTGTGTGTGTGTGTGTGTGTGTGTGTGTGTGTGTGTGTCTCAGTGTGTGTATGAGCAATAGTTTGCAAAGATGTTAAGCTTTAGACAGAACTCAAACATGAGAAAATAATGAATGTTTTTTATCTGCCACGCAAACTATTCTCTTTTAACCTTTTTTTCTTCTTCTCTGAAATCAATTCCTGTGCACGTCACAGTCAAAAATCAACCATTCGCTCTCATGCTTGTTCTGGGTATTGACTGCCCCGCAAAGCAGCTTCTCAAAAGAGCCGTACACACAGTGCCACTCCGTCATACACACATCTTTACAGAGGTAGAAAAGAGAAGTCGCGCCCATCTCAAAAGCCCCGGGACAAAAGGACAAAGAGACTCCCTGTCAGGTACTCCGGCTACACTGCTGTGAACTCGGAAATGAGGTGGAAAAAAAGAGCTGGGGTCTGAGTCGTTGGTGCACAGTGGGGATGGCGGCGAGGTATTTTATTGGAGACATGAAAGTGTAGAAGGCTGCATTTTATTCTATATCTGGTTAAAAATGGAATGGGTTCCTCCTTATACTTTGAAAGAGTTTGGAGCATGCCATTAATGGTGTTCAGTGGAGCAAGTTGCACATCTGAGACTACAGAGGAGATGGAGCGGGAGGGAGGGAGTTGAGCCGGCTTTTAGTTTTACCCAGCTGACTTACAAAGAGGGAGAAGTCAAGCCTCTAATTTGAACTATATCTCCGGTAGATATAATGTCTGCTGTAAGTAGCTACACAGGATATTGAGTTCACACACACACACACACACACACACACACACACACACACACACACACACACACACACACACACACACACACACGCACACATATTGGCTCCCCAGTGTTGCTCACCCAAATGAAGGAGGGGATTAAGGATTTGATTCACTGCTGCCATTGTCTCTCCCACCCGCCAGATTTCTGCCTCTTAATCGAGCCAAGAGCATCTGACATGATGCACAGGTATTCTCCAAGCTTTCTCTCAAGGCTCCCACTAGAGCGTAAGTGATTCTCGGGGGTGCTTTGAGTTGCCAGTGCGACGGATTGGGAGCCTGCATGTATTATGATTGGCAAATGTCTCCAGACGAGGCGATGCCAGAACAAGGGATGTGTATCAGTGTTGCAATGACATCATCTCCACAGGATGTGACAGTCAGGGATATTTAGAGTGGGAAAATGTTGGGGACAGAGAAAGGCTTGAATGGATCATACAGATCAGGCAACATCAATCAAATACTGCATTCACTTCTTGGGCCCTGCCAAGTGTTTGTTCCTCAGTGACAGTAAGCGCCTTGTGTGGACCTTATCCTAATCATGCAGTTATATCTTTAAATTCCTCATGGCAATAGGAATAATGTCCCCGGGCCAGAGTTGACTGCCTCTTCACTGTTTTTGAATCTTTCATATATGAATTGTTTTCAGACTTGGTTATGACTCGCGTGTAATAAATGCTGACATTTGTTAAATAACCCTTGAGACTGCAGGGGATGAATATGGAGATTATGAACCGACATTATATTCAGTAAAACATGATGACACCTAGTTTCTATTTGAATACAAATGTTAATTCATTTGTTAATGGTATAATTTATTTAGGTTTTCAGACATGTTATGCAGGCTTGTTGTAACCACAGCCAGATACTGTGAGGCAGCAATAGAGTACATTCAAATCTTGGCTTTGAAATAAATATAATTGTTTTAGCTTTAAAAAAAACTTTTCTAAATATCCTAATTTCATTAAGTGTATTTTTTCAACTATGACCATTAAAATTGTATTTTTCCTTAAATCAGACCACTTAATATATAGGGAGATAAGCTTGTAAAATGATTATAATCCATTCATCCAAATGTTTATTTCTGTTGTATTTGAACCCCACTCCAATCTCTGGGGTGTTTTTATTTCCCCCCAACTCACAAAGCCACAGCACTGAAAGATTTTCCCTTGGTACAATCAAAATGCATCCGAGAACAGATGTTAATTTTTTTCTTCTGTGTTAGCCTCTTTATTTTTTTTGGAGAGTGTCCACTACATAATCTGTCAGGAGCTTGGCAAGCCACATTCTATTTAAAACTCAGACCACCTCTGTCAGAAAAGCAATTACTAGTGAGGGTTTCATTTTAATTTAAATGAGATTACATTACAGTGACATGAAAAAGGGGCACTGTCAGGATGGAAGGAACACGAGGGTTCCTTTTTATCTGTTTCCCCAGCACTGGAATTGGGAAGAAAGACTTAACTGCATGAAGAAAGGCTCTGTGTGTGTCTGCGAGTGTGAGAGGGGGTGTATGTGCGAGACAAAGACATACACACAGAGTGGAAAGCACTGTATGCCTATGGGTGTGACGCATGTGAACGTGTGTGTTGGCGCGGCGCATCTTAAAGCAACCAGCTTGTGAATATTGAGAAGCTATGCTTGGAGACAGAGTAGCACAATTACTGCCATGCCTCAAGCGTAAATCAATACAACCGCCTTTCGCTAAGCAACGTCAGTGACAAAAAGCTATATGATATGTCGTTTTTTTTAAATGTGACTTTCACGATCCTTCCTCTAATCCTCTCAGCCCCTTTATCTGTGTTGTTTTCAAAGCCATTGTAGGCTAAGAGTGTATCACAGAGAAGCATACCGAGCTTCTGGGGCTGGCTGGCTCATTACCTGCTGCACAAGGGAGAGACATGTCAGAGTAAACTGTCAAACCAACTTTATGTTCTAGTTGCAGCATGTGTCCCTCCCTAAGGTGGATTCTGAGCAAGATACAGGCGCATCATGTTGTAACTGTTTTATTCTCCCATCTTTCTCTCTCTCCCCCTTTTTGTACCCGTTCCCTCCCTTTTCCTCATGCTGCCTGGCCTTGAATGGAACAGCGGATGAACTTGGGATTGAGTTCATGGGTAAGACAACTTTACACTGTCTATGTGGAGTACTCAATTGTTAATGTGCCGTACGTCTGTAAAACACCACATACAAAACACACAATCCAGCACAACAAGGCCACTCACCTTGGGAAATTAATGCGGGCCAGTCGCCATGGAAACACCGTGCTGATGAATTAGGTGTATTCTGTCTGAACTAGAACAGTGCGGTTAGAGACGAGTGATGTAACGAAGGGGAAGCAAATAAGACGCACCGCGGCAGTTCATGTATGATTGTGTGTTTAGCAGTCAATTCTATATCTGTTTAGAACAATTAATTGTCCAAGTTATCTGAAGCCTATACACATTCTGAGTAATTCTCTAAATTGAATAATGGAAATAATGTTTAACCCCTTTGTAATTCAATATTCCTTCAGATACATTTTAACCCTCAAGGGGGTTAACACATCTTTATCCCCTATCTCTAATAATGGCACTGTTCTTTCTCCAGAGGGAATATATAATCTCACCTCCCTCTCCCCCCCCACACACACACACACAGCATCCAACGCCCTCCTACCGTTTTCCACTTTATCTTTTCGGTCTTTTCCACGCTCTCTGGCTTCCTTTTGTGTGTACATGATAACAAACATTTGCATGCGGAGAAGTTTTCCATTAACGCAGCTTCATACACCGCTGTCACGTCACACACTTGCTCCAGGAAATAGAAGGTGCTTTGAAAGAAAGAAGCCTGCCCTGCGCACAGCATTACTCAATTCAGTGATTTTAATCTTGGGGGCTAAATGAGTCCACAATGCTGCTGCAGGTGGGCGGATGCATTTGATAACATGAGAACAGGACTGATCGATTGATACCTAGACAGATGACAGACAGAAGGGCAGGCAGTTTTTTTGGTGTTTAAAAGCTCTGTGTGGGCTCACTTGCTTATTCATTGTGTTCCATTCTTTTTTCTGCTTTAGCAATGGGACTCTTCAAACCTGTTATAGTCAGCGTTTTTCTAAGTCTAAAATAGGATCGCTTGAAACAGTGGGTGAGAAAATAGCAAAGCTCTGTTTGGAGTGGGATTGAGTGCAGAAAATAGGATCTTGTCTTTTGATTTTCTTGCATTTTTTCCCCCCTGTCTCTAGAGTAGTGTGCCCTTGTGTATTTCAGGCCAAATACCCAATTTTGTCATGGATACTTTAGCATGCTCCTCATTATAGCAGTTCTTTATGGTGATGTGTAGAGTGCTTGCTATAGAATAGGTGGCCATATGGGATTGTGTTGTCCTCGTGTCAATATGACATGGCTTAGCCGATATAGCTGAGGCTGTTCAGTTCGTTCCGTCTCCCTCCACTCTCTTGCATCTAATTTCAAGAATGCCTTGTAGGCATCGGGCATGAAAGGCCTTTAATGGTTTTATGCACAGACTGCATGCTGGTTTGTCCTCACAGCCATTCAGCACAGCTTTGTAGACAGCTGTTTTCATGTTCAGATTTCCAAAAAAGGCCTATTTCATCTTTCAAAAAAGAAAAAGGCATAGGCTCGTCTCAGGTGGTGCCTCGGATGAGCACAGATGATGCTGCAGCAGGGGAAGATATTTCCTATATCTTTCGAAGATGGAAACGTCAAGAGGTTATTTCACTGATGGTTAGAGGCTGCAGGTTTTACAGGGGCACGGCTATACAAGTGACACATTGCTTGTAAACAGGGCAACTTCTGTCGTTGATGTGTAAAGTGCAGCTTAAGGACATTCACTGCGGTCCCTTTATGACAAATTACAGAGGGACAAGAATCTGCAAGTCAGGAACTTGTTGACAGCTCCACCACTTAGGAGTATTATAATATAAGTGTCAAATATGGGAAGTGTTATGTCCTATTATGTACAATAGAGCCTGCCAGAAGTGCTGATATTATGGACCAAAAGGGCTTTAATAATAATAATAATAATAATAATAATGCTTGCAGATAATAATAATAATACATTACATTTATAAAGCACTTTTCCTGGTGCTCAAAGTGCTTACAAGCAAGTAAAACAAAATAACAACAAAAGTAGAAAGTGCTAAGGTAGGAGGAATAAGGGCAAGGGGTTAGTTGATTAGGAGTTGAAGACAAGAGTGAAAAGGTGAGTTTTGAGGGATTGTTTGAATGATGTGAGAGTGATGGCGGATCTGACGTGGCTGGGGAGGGAGTTCCAGAGTGTGGGGGAGGCTGCTGCGAAGGCCCTGTCACCCCAGGTCCGGAGCTTTGTCCTGATGGGCTGCAGTAGGTTAGCTTCAGCAGACCTGAGGCGACGGGTGGGGGTCTGTCGTTGGATGAGGTCTCAGATATATATGAGGATGTTTGAGTCCATTCATATACTATTTAACTTTAACTACATCGACTCGTTTGTGGTTTTATTTACTTAAAAATGTGAATTGTAGTAAATAAACTAACATTTAAAATGACTTTCATGTTGGATAAAAGTGTATTTCTCGGCTGGAAAATGAACTGGCCCAACTATTATCACAACTATTTTATAAACATCTCAGATGAAAACATTTTGATGTTTACATATTGTCCTTGAAATATGAATATTGGTGTTGACTATAATTCAGAACACCAATTAACTAAATGAGTTAATAACAACACAAATTGCTAACAAAAATAGCCACATTTTCAAAAAGTATTACTTTCAACCCAATATCATTCACATAACCACACAGTTTGCCAGTGAAAGTCAAAGTCAACTTTATTGTGTGTACAGACAGAGCGATCGAAATACCGTTTCCCACAATCCCAAATATAAAAATACAAATATGTCTAAAACTAATATGTAAACTAAGCAATAGAGGGTCACGGCCACGCTTGCACCATTTCTTAAATGTTCAACCCATCCTGGCTCCTTTCCACAAGAGCTGAGTGGGCAGTTTGAACTTACTGTATGATGTATACATATACAGTATTTCTCAACATATTGTATCTCCAGGATGTTTTCAGATGCTATCTTGCCAGAAGTGTTCTAATATTAAAAAGGTTTTCCCTCCCTTTTGACCTCAGTTACACCCCCTTGAATGTGTTGATGCAGCATTGATGTTCTGTAATGCAGAGGGAAAAATGAAAAGATAAAAGAGGAAAGACATCGCGCACTTGGTAGCACTCCAGTGTCTGCTTTGAACACAGGAAGCTCTCCAAATGTCCCTTAAAAATAGAATTTGACGAAGTGGATAAACAAGAGTAGACAAGCAAGGATGAAGAAGACATCCCTGGAAAGTTCTCTGTTGACAGCATCAAAAGCCACAGACAAGACATTAAAAGGTCATGAACAGGTTGTGGGGATGTTTCTGCACTTCACCCTGCGGTTGTCAAGGTGTAGAAATCAGACACAGGGGGGGTTATTGTTTATGATTGAATGAGTAATGTCACAGAAGGTTGCATTGAAGGTCATGAACAAAGTCTCTACCCTTCTGTGACAGTTTAGCCCCTGCAGGCCTCGCTCGAGTCTAGAATAGTAACCCTTGATTTGTGAAACCCAAATTGATTGCCAGGAAGGGAATCAAGCAAGATCTTTCGCAAATCAAATGTTGCTATCTAGGCTTGTTTGGGGAACTTCCGAGATTTTTCTGAAGTTTCCATGTAGCCGCCAGACGTCCGGGCCAAAACGTCCTACTCCATACGTCCTAAATGTTAATGTTCAAACAACTTGAGACGCGAGGATGGAGTTGAAAGATGACGTCTGTACCCAGTTTTTTTTTTCACGAGTAGCCAGTTTACACACAGTTCACAAATGATTTTTGCCAAAACCAAAACCAAAACCGATATCCAATAGATCCTGAGATTGCATTTTCGGCGAGTTCCGTCTTTTTTGGCCTTCACAAAGATTGTGTACCTGCCTTCATGCACAGGTTGCTCCACCATGATTGCCTACAAACAGAAAACAATCTTCACCTACAGATTTCAGTTTTACAGTGATGAGGTCATGAATTTCAGCGGGACATAGAGGTTCCTCCAACTAGATGAGCTGTATTTTTTGTGCTTATTTTGACCACTAAACGATGTGATTGAATGCAGTGCCTCCACACTCTGCGTGTGGAACCATTGTAAGTTGTGCACAACCACAATTCATCTGCTCTGTCAGACAGATATCTGCTGGGATCAACTGCTACTTGTCCCAGCTGCCTGTGACCTTAAGCCTCTGCTGCTGATGTACAAGGGTCTGACAAGAAGCTCCGGGAGCGCTCATTTGCTGCTAATTCCCTGTCGCCATCAGTCTCCGATATGCTGACACACATACAGCTCATGCACGCGCGCAAAACATGCACGGGGTGGCCCCTGCTGTGCAAGACAGTCCATCGGGGTTGCCTGCTGGGTTTTGTCTGAACGAAATGATTATCACACTTCAGTTAGCACATGTCACTGAGCCCTGCCTGTGTCTGCCTTGTCGCCATCCCATGCTCAAACACTGACATTTACTGACAGCAGCATCGGTCGCTTTATGCTAATACAGATTGTGGGTGGATGTGTGTGTATGTGGCAGTTTTTGAGCGTCCATCTGCTGTTCGTGTGAGCTCAGTATGTTGATTCTTGATCTGTTTCTTTCTCCCTGATCAATCACAGCCCATATATTTTGTGTCAAAGAACAAATTCAATGGCTTGAACTGTGTTTTTTTTCCTTCCGCAGAGAGTGGTGACACTTACCAGAGGCAGGTGCTGTCCATCTTCAGCATTGCCTCAGGGATCTGTCTTCTTGGAGTGGCATGTATGGCTCTCTACCGGCGCAACAAGTGAGTGATGCCACATGCCAGCCAGCACCACATTAGTAGAGTGTGCCCCCGGCTGTGCAGAAAGAGCACTTCACTATCATGGCATGGAGCCCGATGAAATTCTAAGTGTGAGTCAGCTAGAGGATGTTTTAGCAGGGCATCAAATCCAAATTGTGTAGGATGCATTTGGGACACATACTCATGTAAGATTTATTCGGAAAGCGGTTTCCGAGAACAGGTGTGTCACAAAATGCTCCTCACAAAACGAAATACACAGATAGGGCAAGAGCTAGACCATGTTCAAAAAGCCATTAGACACTAAGTGCGTGTGCGTACGTTCCCGACTGGGTGAGAGGGGTACCAGGCAGCACGAAAGCCAGCCTGCCAAAGTAAATTACTCACTGCAAGGAAAAATAAAGAAAACCAATGTAGACAAAGTAAAAGTAATGGCGGCGTAAAAAGGGAGTTAATGTAGTGTTGATTAAATTGGTCCTGATAAACAAAAATGGGTTTCATTTCAGTACTGGAGTGCTCTAAGAAGCGTCTGTCGGACAGCATGACCAGAGAGTCCTGGCTCAGCAGTAGAATAAATGTACTGGAAATTATCCAAACACATAGTCGTTGTTGAATTGAATTTAGTTTCCCTGAATGTTTGGTGACAGTGTAGCTTTACATGCAATAAACCTAAGTGTATTCTGCTCCTCAGGCTTTTTGCATCAGTACTCCACTGAGAAGATTAACCAGTAGTGCTTCCTTGATAGTGTTTAATACAGAAGAGAAAGAGATAAAAAAAAGTAACTTGTACATTTTCAAACAGTAAAAATATATGAAAATCAAAGCCAAGTTAATGAATGGTTATAATTTGTAGTAATTATGCAGGATACAGAATGGGAAATACATAGAACCACATAGTGGGTGAAATATCCACCATCAGTTGCTGATTGTCATGGATAAGACTATGAAATTAGCTAAGTAATAACTACTGTAAGCTTATATATGAAAATGATGGTGGATTGAAGGTACTTGAAATGACCAGGAAAAGCCAGCAAATTCTTCCTTTACGGCTTTCTCTGTTAGATACTGTTTTTAAGTAGTTAGTAACCAACAACAACATCCATTTTTTATGTTTCTTTTCTTAATATGAGCTTCTTTTAAATCTGGAAGAATTTAGCCTGCAGCCTCATTTGCAGATAAAGTATACTTTAGCAAGCCGGTATTTAAGAATGATCATTTAATGGCAATTTAACATCTAATTTGAGATTCTTAAGCATCAATTATTTTCTTCTTTTTATTCAATCAAAGTTTAATCACAAGATAAAAAAAAAAAACACTGTCTTGTTTATTTTAGGATGCCAATTTAGTTTTCCGTGTCCCATTTTTTTTTTCATAAGAGTTCCTTTTATTTCTAATCATGGAATGGACTGCAGGCAATTATACTGTACGGGTGAAAAAATGTCAGTTATCTCCTGTAGGAAGCAGGACAGTCTGCTTAAGACTTCAGTATTAAATGGATACACCTAACAGGCACCATTAATTTGACATGTTCACTTCGCAGCTTTCCATTATGAATGCATTATTAAAATATCCAGCCATAACTGTTTCTCGTAGTCTCCCTCTTCAAAGTGAAGTTCGAAGCTCTTGAGTCTCCGGAGGTATTTCTGGAAAATCTCAGTCTTGTTTTTGTTCTTTTTTCAGAATATTATCACAAAGGCATGTAATGGACATTTCATGGTACATTGACTTAATTACATTTTCACTTGTGCAAGACATCTTCTCTCCTAATGCTATTTCTGTAACCAGCGCTTTTAAACACCATCAAACCTTTACTGTTACAGCTCCCGAAAAAAAAAAAGTCCACATCTGGGTTGCAAGTTCAATGCCACTCAGTCTCCTTAACCTTTCAAGGCCGTCATACATTAACAATTTTTGACACATGTTGTTAGATCGTTGTAGTATCGCCCTAAGATATGTTATGTGTGTGTGAGTTATTATGTGGCTGTTTTCACACACAAACAGCAAATGATGTGTCAGGAATGAAAAGCCATCGGTTCAATAAATATTGTTGTCACATATGTGTTTAAAGAGCGGGTCAAGTGGGTCATAAGAATCAATGATTGAAGCAAACGACGTTATCAGAGTGTGTAATCATTTCAGAAAAGGCAGGAAACACATTGACCTCAGCAAACTGCTAATAGTGTAGTTCACCGCCATGGTCATTTTAATTTTAGCCTATTCTGTATTCTTCACGATCCCCTCTTTCTCACTGCTCTTGTTTTTGTCCGCAGAAGACACAGGGAAAAACTGCAGGCTCATTTCTCCGATAGCCGCAGCCTGAGGGACTGCAGTGTCAACGCCTCTGGCCTCATGTCCAAATCTGCTCCCAGGCTCCAGTACAGCCTTCAACTCCAGAAGGTGAGTCTTTACCTGATATTGATTTACTTCCTGGTCATTTCTTTATCATCATTATGATCATTTTAATATGTATAGTACTTCTCTAAAAACGGTTTAGAGTGCTTGACAGGTTGATGTATGAGGGGCTTCTTAATAATCTCTCTACTGGCTCAAGCCTTTAAGTTCACAGTCGTGTCTGACGGGCTAAGAGACAGTGGGGAATTAGAGTTTCAAATGAATATACAGGAAAATCTGCTTGTCATTACTGTGAAAAACTGTAGATTGGAAGTTCTGTGGCTTGTCACGGTCCCTGAATTCGACATGTAAGCACAGCACCAGTACTCTATAGTAGGCAAATGCTCTTAAATGACACACTACTTCTGGTATTTTACGACTGCGAGTGCTAAAACTGTATTTTTGGTGCATATACTTGGTTGTACACTTAGCAAACGGAAAAACCTTTTGTAACAGAGGTTAAAAAATGTCTGCAGGATGTAGAGGTTTGTGCCAAATGTAATTGTCACCTCAGCTCAGAAAATGATAAGAAAAACTAAATTGTCTGATTAAATTATTTATTAATGAAGAATCAAACATTTGACGAGAGATCAAAATCATCGTAAGGAGAACGATTCGATTTGAACAGCTGTTCCTCGTAATGAAAAACCACCAAGTCACACCCTGGTGAAGGGAAATAAATGAATGGCTTGGTGTGGAAAGAAAAAGTGTCTTGAAATTAATTAAAAGCCACCGCTGCAGCAGAGAGAACTGACCCAGACTCTCACAGCAGAGCAGGTGGAGGATGGAGATGGCTCTGATAATGCTGATCTCTTCTCAGAATCCCAAGCTAACGCACTTATAAAGATCTCATCAAAAGAGAGAAATTGCCATAACGCATTAGCACTTCCCTGAATGCACCCTCTTTGGTCGGGTGTGAGGGAAAATGCTCGCATATTACATGAATGTTTTTTTTCTTCTTCCTCAAATGCTATTTGTTGTTTTTGAGATTCAGTGTGCATCCCTCTCATTGTTTGAGGAAGTTATACGCACCACTGCTTTGCTACCATATGCATATGCTAATGTACACCTGCTCTACAAAGATGTGGAAATCTCCAGATGTCACTGACCCTCACAAATTGCAAGAACATAAATAAATACTTCACATCTTCTGCAATTTGCATGACTCTCCCTTAAATATGTATGTGTGTAGGCAGGGAGATAACATACTTTACTGGATTCAGAACAGAGGGTGGTCCCATTTGATAACGTTCACGTTTACCTTAGACACAGTTGTGTTTGTTGCTGTCCTCATTCAGGTTAGGCCTTGTTCTGCTATTTATGAGTTGCCAAATGTAGTCTTACGGACACTGTTAAATAATTCAACAGAGTCCACTGTTACCCACCCAAACAAGCAGCCCTATATACTAGATATAATGCTATCAGGGTGACACTGCAAATTATGGCTTTGAGCAGGTGACAGATAAAAAGTCGTACACCATTTGATTTTAAAGTTGGGTAACTGATGACAAGTAGAAATGCTTTCATAATAAGACATGCACATGATTTCACTTCTGCACAGATATACTCCTCCACTGACACAAAAACCAGCCTCAGCACATCTGCGCCAAGTTTAGTGTATTTCAGTCAGAGGCTATTGTCCCATTGCACAATAGCAGGCTATTATATTAACACCACGGCTGTGAGAATATGGTGACAGGATTGTATAAGGGCTCAGCATGCATTGAAACCCCATATCCAGCCAGAAAATGCTTTCAGAGCTGGACACACGGAGGAAGCCAGGTGGAAGACAAAACTAAAAGACAGTGATAACACCAAAACACGGAAACACAAGCTATAATAGAAGAATGTGAGGGAAGCTTAAGGTGGGATGTGAACGATCACTAGAACCACCCAGGAGGGGCTGCACAGACTGAGGAAAGATTAACAAGTGAAACCCATTTTTCCACAGATTTGACACAGCGACCCCACACCACTGATTTTCTCCACCCACTCTCAACCATGTAGGGAAAAGACATGTGCCGTGGTGGGTGGTGCAGTAAGTTCTCTGGGTTTTCCTTTAAAGGGTGATTTAGACTGACAAAATGTACAAGGGAAAACAAGTCTAGAGAAGAACAGAGCACAGTGTTCAAAGAGGCTCAAAACATTTGCTGCATAACTACCCTCCATCAGAACACAGTGGTTTTCTTCCGAGGCTGTAAGTATGAGGATGAGCTCGGTGAGCCGTGACCAACAGGCTGGTTCTGTCGAGGAAGGTGCAGAGGGGAGGATGAAACTAAAGACCATTTGAGTGTCTTCCACACCCCTCTATGATAAACTGATGTGCTACTCGAGTATCTTTAACCTCCCGAAAAATGTGTGCACTCCCTGAGCTCAAGCGCTGTAAACTAAGACCTTTTCGTCTAGGTGTGCAGAGAATGCATAGACCTATATGCTGACATCATTGTTACACAATGCCTCCTGCAGCAGAGTCTAAACCAACTCGGATTACGAAACTTATGGCACCCTTTTTAAAATAGACACATGGGCACCTGCACTTTAATCTATATTGTTTTTACTCTACAGCCATGAACTATAGGCAAGGCAAGTTTATTTAAACTGAACAAAAAACACTTTTGTTTTTGCTCCCATTTTTCATGAGATGAACTCAAAGATCTAAAACATTTTCTACATACACAAAATAACCATTTCTCTCAAATATTGTTCACTAATCTGAAAAAATCTGTGATAGTGAGCACTTCTCCTTTGCCGAGATAATCCATCCCACCTCACAGGTGTGNCGTACCGTACCGTACGTACGTACGTAGTACGTACGTACGTACTAGTACGTACGTACGTACGTACTACGTACGTAGTACGTACGTACGTAGTACGTACGTACGTACGTACGTACGTACGTACGTACGTACGTACGTACGTACGTACGTACGTACGTACGTACGTAGTACGTGTAGTAGTGTGTGTGTGTGTGGGTCTGGGGGGGTCCGAAAACCAGTCAGTATCTGGTGTGACCACCATTTGCCTCACGCAGTGCAACACATCTCCTTCGCATAGAGTTGATCAGGTTGTTGATTGTGGCCTGTGGAATGTTGGTCCACTCCTCTTCAATGGCTGTGCGAAGTTGCTGGATATTGGCAGGAACTGGAACACGCTGTCGTATACGCCGATCCAGAGCATCCCAAACATGCTCAATGGGTGACATGTTAGGGTTAGGGTTAAAACTGACTGGTTTTCGGACCCCCCCAGACCCCCCCAATAAAGTGTAAGATGTGAATAGTTCAATTAAAAGTTGCGGCAAAAAGAAAGTCTTCAGCATGGATTTAAAAGTTGTAAGAGTTGCAGGTTTCTGGTAGTTTGTTCCAGATATTTGACAATATCCCTCGCCAAATTCTCACATTCCTCTACCAATAGTCTTCCCGTAGAAGTATAGTTATTTTAACAGTTTTCTAACCTTAACCTATACATTAACGCCTGACCTCTCTGCCCACATGCCCCGCCTCGTGCAGCATTTTAGCACATTTATATGATTCTCTTCCATCTGTCAGCACAAATACCTACACTTATTTATACATCTTGGAGTATTCCTGTGCAACATATGTTCCCTCCATCTGTACATCCAAACTTAAATAGCCATGTTAATTGCACACGCTCCTGCACTTAAGTGAATATACGCAGCCATGCAAACTGCTTTATATATGAGTCATCTATGGGAACTTTTAAGGAAAATTGGATAGTTAAATAACTCACAATCGACTGAGAGTTGTGTTATCAACATCTCTGTGGCATAGAAGTGTCAAATAAAAAGAGATAGGGTATGCCCCGATGAGACACACTGCACCAAAACAGACATGCACCAACATGAAGGAATAGGGGCACACATGCTGGAAGGACAAGACGAGAAGAACTCAATTCCCTTCAGCCGGAAGCTGGAACTTACTAACTAGCCTCACTCTAAGAGACTGGGTCACCCTCAGGAATGATGTTAGGCTTTATGAATACTTTATGTGCTCAGAGAACGGTAAGGGCCATAGAAAAAAGCGTTGTGTACCAAAATCCACAGAAATAGGACATTAGAATATTTTAATCAACGCTCTAGGGTTCCACAAGGCTTTGTTCTGTTTTGACCAAAGTCGTTTTACACTCTGAGGTCATCTTTCTACCAGACATGACTTGCAGTACACCAAGAAAGCACACATTCTTAGAAACCAAAGGCTTTTTAATGTTATTTGAGAATATGTTATCAGAATATATTTATGTTATTTTATCTATTCAAGTGAAAGGTTTTTATAAACAGGCATTGGGGATGAACTGCTGTCCTTTTGAATATTGTTTTAAATATGAGAAAGTATCAAATATGAATGAGCTGAAGTTTGTGTGCATGAAACTATGCCTCTTGAAAAAGTTGCTTTAAAAAGAAAACCTTAAGGCACAGTGCCATGAGAGATTAACCACATTAGCCAGTTGTTCAGAGTGTTGTGACAGCAGGGGGGATGATACTGTATGAAAGCTTCTGTAGGTAGATCCGTTAATAAAAGGACAGGCCGCTGCAGCTTGATAATTAATAACGCTGTCAACAAAGATAATGCTAATGTGCATGTCGGCAATGTACAATTCTAGAACAGCCGATTAACATTTTGCTCAGGTAGAACAGAAACTGTGTTAGCTGTCAGTGTTAGTCACATTTACACGTTGCTCGGTTGGAGCACTAAACTGCATCTGCTGCTGGTTTGTGCCCAAGGAATGTCCTTCATGAAGAATGGTCAAATATCCCATTATGCCGGGTTCAGGATCTGTGATTTGATGGTAATCCAAGGAGGATCAATGCTGCTCTCAATGCATTGGTTTGCCATTCTTCTTATGTAGTTGATAGTCAACTTATTGATAGATTTTTCTCTGTTTCTTTCAGGCTTTTCTTTTTTCTTGGTTCTCCTTGAAATAAATCTCCGTCGCGTTGTGGTTATCCAAGGCTTTCACAAGTGGCATAAAACAAGGCAAAAGTGAGATAGGAGGGAACAAGTGAAATGGGTTATGCCACACAGATCTGCCATTGTCTGCCACAAGCTATTTATTTTATCCCCGGACATAGATAACCTCCTCTGGGAAAGTTTGCCACTGTAATTGATCCAGAAAGTGAGGCGTTCTCCACCTGCAGGGTATATGAGAGGGTGGCCAAAAATGATCCCATTTTCTTGCACAACTTGTCAACAGCAGTAACAGCTCCCTCTGGGAGTCAGGGGTATATGGGAGAAAAAGAGGCTTATCACGCATGGACCCCCTGAACTGGCTCTGAGTCACATGCAATTGCTTTAATGATGTAAAATCAGAGAGAGAGAAAGGGCAGCAGAGGAAATACTGTAACTGGAAAACCGAATTATCTCATGACTCTCAGAGGGGGTCTCTCAGGGTTGCTGTGCCAGAGCGCTGTCTGGGGCCTGTTGTGAGATAATGGTGTTCGTTTTGATCATAATAAAGGGAAAGAATTGAGGGGGAAGATTCTTTAGGAAACCATTAATGTAATCTTGTGTGGGATTAATTCTTTAGTGTGGCAGGAGTGCAATGAGGGCCAAGCTGGAGTTTATTCACCAAGCGTCCCTTCTTAATCTGCAGTTTAAAATGTAAAGTGTAATTAAAGACACTCTGCCTCACTGAGGGGGGAGAACATCCTGACTGGGGACTCAAACCTGAGTGGGGACTCGCTGTTAAGCCACATATATATCCCCTGCATTATGTATTATACCCACAGCTTATATTCTTTGTTGACTTACATAATCACTTACACCAGACTGTCTTGTTGTTGATTGCGATCTTTATAACAAATGAATGCAACTGCAATAAAGAAACAAAATGTCTGTCACATAGTTCAACGATCATTTTGAAGATACATCCTGAAGCCACAATTACCTTGTTTTATTACCTGCTGATGTACTATTCGTCTTCATTTTTGCAGGGATGCAGTTCTCATGGATCGTCCGTTAAGGGCAGCAGCGTGGCACCGGGCACATCGACAGCAGCCCCCCCTCTTCTCAGCAGAGCGCTGTCTAAAGGGAAACGCTTCAGGTGACATGTGACATCCTCTTATTTCCTGTTTCATACCTCTCGCTAAATCCAGATACAAGAGGCAGCCAATTGAGAAATGAAATCATCACACGGGAGACAATACCGAGCACATTATAAACAGATCATTTGTAAAATTGGTGATTTATGGTGATTATAATCATGAGCCACCCTATTAATATACATCTTGGATACATTGCAAGCTTTGTCTGTGTGCATAACAGAATCACACGTTTTATAGGAGGATTATTGGTTTAGCTTGCTTAATTACATTTATATTAGATTCTTTCAATATAGTTGGAAAAAAGGATGTCTTTATTGACATGGCGGGTAGAAAAAATGAGTCATTAAATGTGTGCTCAGGCAAATTCGGAATTGACTTCTTGCAGACTGAAAGGCAAGAGGAGACGGAAGAGAAGTGCATTTGAATTTGCAGAGTTAAACATTGATCAGACACATTTTCCCTCATGCCAGCCTTTAAATGACAGCAAAAGCCAACAGAATTGACTACATTTTGCAGGGACGAATCTCATTTACGGTTGTGATCACAGCAGTGAGAATCAATTGCTGTCATTTTAAATCCTCAGAAGAACACAGGGATGTTTTAGAGCATGCTTCAATGGTCCTACACATATCTGGGATGTTTACAGAAAAGCTTCATTTGCTTTGATGATATTATGTGTGCAGGCACAATTTGAAAGTTAATGACATTCAGTCACACAATGTGCAAGATGTCGTTACTCAGAAATATATTTCCCTTAGCACCAATTCCACTCATTGTTGGTAAATCGCTAATTGATTGCTGGTAAATGTCGATCTCTCCTGTAATATTTTTCTATTTTAGGCAGCACTGGAAGCATCTGTGGTTCAGAGCTGCAACTTTTCAGAAAATGAAAGGCTCCACACATGTACTTAAGGTCTTATTACATGCTGGGTGTGTTATATAAGCTTTCAGAACTATCGGGAGAACAGACAGTACAGGATATGATTAGAGGCAGTGATGTTTGCAGAGAGAGGCGGGTGTGCTTGTCTGTGCAGGCAGAAGGGGATTTCAGATGTCTATAGTTGACTATGATGACAACTTCAGTGAAGCCTCCACTGATGCGGCAGTTGTTCTCTGTTTTAATGGGCTGCTGCTGTGTCCAAAAGGTTGTCATGTGTGGCTGAAGGGATGGTGCTGGCTTTTTAATCCCCACAGTGTCCTGCAGGTGCTTCACGGAGAGCAGCTGACAGTCAATCATCTGTTCAGCCTGTTCTCAGAGTCGGACAAGGCAGGGGAGAACTAGACGGTGATGGATGATGTTGAGATGCTTTCAGCTATTGACCTGAGAAAAGAGGACCATATTTTGAGCTATCAGGAGAAATGCCCAATAGTGCATGTCAATAGGGCCCATCAATATTGCTGCAAAATGTTACTTGTGTATCCCAGGGGTTTGTATGAGCATGTGCAGATTGATTCACATGCATGAATGCACAGTATATGTGTCGGACTGGGATTTGGCATAGACGATTAAGACATCATATAACATCAGTGAAAATATATACATAGCCTGGTCTGAAACCAAAAGGAATAACAGTCTGTTGGGATGCACTTAGTCATGTGTGCGCTTTGATCTTAACGCTTATCATAGCAGGCTAACATGTTTTAAATTATGATGCAGAAAGAACTTCTAACTCCAATGGGAATAATAGTTTTGCGGGTATGTTTGTCGCCATGGTGGAGCTAAAAGTGTCAAAAGCCATTTAGATTAGTTGTACAAATAGGCCTCTCTCATTAAAACGTTCAGAAATGTTCTTAATTTGCACACAAAATAATTCCACATGCAAAATAACCCGACACGTGACATTGCCAATGTAGTTTTACGACTGCATAAACTGAATGTCACTAAATTAGGTTCATTTTTATTTGACATGCAATTGCCCACTATTAGCAATCAGCTTACACCCCTATACAAGGACATACATTTTTGTAGATGTTTGTGATTGAGAGAGTGTTTATATCGCTGTAAGAGAGAGATAGTGCCCACAATAAGTTTTTCAGTTTAGGATTTTCAGCACTGAACATTGGCTGCATTTGCACAATTTCATGGTACTAGAGATTGTTGGGGGTAGCCATCATCATAAGTACTGTTTGTGAATGAGTCCCATTGTCTGTAAACCAACATTTCATTGCAATCCATCAAGTGGTTGTTGAGATTTTTTCTCGATCAAAGACTGACTTTTCTGGCATCATATTTCGGGCATTTATGAATTGACACTTTCTATATAGAATAGTGCTTGGTGAAGAAATCTTCAATTTCATCTCCAATGTTGGTAAGTACTGAATGAACTAGCCAGTGCCGCTCTCTCTGTTCAGTCTGTTCTCAAGCATATTTCCAAATTGCCTTGCCAGCTAAATCTGATGGAAATAGCTCCGTCCAAGTCGATGCATAATCACCACACTGCCAGTACTCAATCAATGTTTTCATTTGTGCTATTGTTGAATTTGATAAATTGCCAAGTTTATATTGTCTTGATTGGATTATGAGGAAATTGTAAGCTAATCAATGTGCACAAATTGAGTCAGTGAGCATGAATTTTTAACATGCTGACATGTGGTTCTGTGGAAAAGTGTTGTACTTTGTCACATACTGTAATGTTATTCTCCATATCCCTGTCTCTTCTGTCTAAAAGAAGCACAAACATAGAAGAACTCATTATAATTGTTGCTTTATAAGTCCACCAAAACCCATTTAACATCAGGAGGTTGTACATTTTTGTAGTGAATGGAGATAAGCCGTGGCCTTTTAATTTCAGACCTTTAACATTTGACTTTCAATAATTGCAACCGCCTGGTGATATCATTCACAAAAACATATTTGATTTTTCCAGCTTTCAGTTAATCCTAATTAACAAAATCTGCATACTAATAGCCAAAAAAGATGACATAATTCAGCTTTATTCATATCAACTTTTTACAACATCAGACGATGCATACGCTAATGCTGGCAAACTCTAGATCTGACATTAGCCATGCTTATTGTTCCACAGACACGGACATTTGGAAATTATGATTTAACTGAGTAATTTTTCCACAGCGTTGCGGTAAGCTTTTAATTGATAACCAGTCGTCTACTGGAATGCTTAGTTTGCTGCATGAATTAAAAGCATTGTGGCAGTTCAGGTAAAGGACAAGCTAGAAAATATTTGCACATCCACTAACCTATTGTTCATAAAATAAACATAAGCAGGTAATGAAAAAGGCTGCCACGCTGAAATGTATTAAAAATAAAACTGAAAATGATATATGTCTGTATTTCATAATCCCACACCTTCTGTGGGAGTTGTATTTCTCTTGCTCTGTATTGATAGTGAAATATAACTTTGATTCACATTTGATGTCATGGCTTTAATGCTGCAGAAGTGCATGGATGTGCTTTGAAGTCGACCACCTGCTGCCTCCAGAACAATTTAAAAACAGTGTGCCTCGGCAGGAAGCACAGGCTTTAAAGAGGGTAGCAGGATGTAGATTTTTGTTCTCGTTGAGAGTAGAAAAAGGAAGAAATGTGCCCTTGCATATTTATTTCATCAACAGTGTCGAAATCAAACAGGCAGGTCACAAAGAGAAACATTTAAGTGTTTTGTGCCAGAATCACATTAAAGCTTTGTGGCTCTGCAGATGTCGGTTGTTCATGTTCATTCAGGGTCCCCAGAGGATGAATGATTAACGTATTCTCCTAAAGCTGCCATGAGGTTTACATGTATCTTGTGGTAAAAGATATTCAATGTCAAAAGAGGAGTCATTGCAATGACGTTGGTGATATTTTGACTTAAAGGGGACCTATCATGCAAAATGCACTTGTGTACGTCTTTTATACATGAATATGTGTCCCCGGTGTGTCAGGGAACTCACCAAGTGTCAGAAAACACAACCCTCTCTCTTTTCCTCCATACCCAAATCTCTAAAAACGGGGCTGCAATGGATCTGATACAGACTGATCCAGATTTGAAATATCTCTGACATCAGAAACAAGGAGCTCCGCCTATATGGGCAACTCTCCACCTATCAGGGGAATGAGAGGTTGCGTGGCATGGTAACAGCATGGTAACATGACGCTCGTGCCTCGCCCCCCTCTTTTGCAGGGGGGGCGAGGCCAGCTGCAGCTCATTTGCCACAGAATCAGCCCTTGCAAAAACAGGGCTGGAATAGAGCAAATGAGGCATGGCTAAAATGCATGATCTGTTTGGTATTTTGAAAAAAAAGCTTCAAAGGCATGTTTTATATAGGTATGGCCCTACAATATATTATTCAAATATAGCATGATAGGTCCACTTTAAAGTAGCCCCATCAACAGGTCAAAATGTCCCCAATTCTTCGATTTATGATCAAACACAGTATCTGCAAAACTAACTGCAATGAACCCCAGCTGTGCTTTATTTGTCTTTTTAATTAACAAATGTTATTATGCTAACAGGCTCAACTGATGAACATAGTGAATCTACCTGCTAATCATCATCATGTTAGCATTGTCACTGTGTCATTTGCACTGCTTACTGGTAAATTACTATTCTTTTCACAACCCAATTCTAATGTTTAGACTTCAATACTAAGGTCATGAATGCACCCGAGTAAATTAAGTGTGAAATATGAAGCTTTTTTCCTACTCAACACCCAACATCAAACAGCAACGTCCATCCAGTCCAGTCAATTATACATCAATGAACACAGTAGATGAGATAGATTTGATACACTAAATGAATTAGTGAGTGCTGTTTGATTTTATGAAACTTTTTAAAGTACTGTGTTAAATCTGTAATATTCACTCTTTGCTGGTTTCATTCTGGTTACAGGAGTAGCTCCCTTTCTCTGAGCCCTTCCCGACAACGGAGGGAGAATATATACTTCAGGACCCCACCCGTTTCCAGAGGAAAACATAAAATATCGACCAATCTCATTGATGGATCCAGAGGGGCTGGTCACGTCTACAAACACTTGCAGGAGGATGAGTCTACAGACATTGAGTTCATAAGAAGGTGAAGTTTGTTCTTCCTTTTGGTTAGTTTTGTTATACTGTATCCTCCCTGAGGAAATTCTCTTTGGCCCTCTATAAGCTGATGTCAACCAGCCAGTGTAGTGATACTGACCTCCCGGACTAACTGGGGTTAACTTTGAGTGGCAGGAGGATAATTTGGGGAGAAGGAGTTTATGACTGAAATGCTCAGAGTTCAAATCTGAGAACTGGCTTATGAAATCTGATCAAGGGAAATAAATGAGATCTGCTGTGCCCTCCTTCAACTGGGACTGTCACAATTAATTTGGAAAACACATTTGATCCGGACCGCTCAACAGTATCATGGAGCCGGGGAAGTCCAAGAAATGAGTCTGAGTGTAATCCCTCCGTATACCAGCTATTGGGTTGATGCTGTGAATGAAAATGTGTTTCATCCGCGGGGCTTTATCAGGGTTAAATGCATAACAATGGCGCCAAAGCTAATTACCAGATAATGCACAAGTTCAAAAGATGTCCAGAAAGGGTTGCTTTGAGATAATTATGAGCATTATGTGGAAGCCTTGTGGGTGGCATATCAAATAAATAATTACATTTTCTGCCATTTACAAGATAAATATGGAGCCATTTTGTGACTGTAGCCTTCTAAAACAAGGCTGCAAATTGAAAATGCTTAATATCGGGCGTTGAGACATCTTGAGTTCTCCACATGCTCATCCTCATGTCGAGTAAGGACAGCGAGCTGCCCTATTTTCATGGCTATCACAAGTGAAGCATGTCTACTGGCGCTGTTTCAGGAGGCATTAAAAGCAGGGAGCACTGTTGGCAGAGCCGTTTCTCAAAAAGTTAGCTATCCGGGGGCTTAAAATAACTTACATATTTTCTAAAGTACAGTCTTATAATGCTCAGTGGCTAGGGTTCAAAAAGATAGCGTGATGTGAAATCCTTCTCCGACACATTTGTGATCAAAGAGCCGTGTTCACCCCGTGTCCTCAAAGATGGAGGTGATCCGTGTGGAAACAAAAGTATTTCACATTCAGTTAAAACTTTTCTTTTTGCCTACAGATGAATAAGATTGATTGTTAAGTAACATACATCACAGCTTGAAAATGTTCATTGAAATGCTTGTTTCCCTAAGTAGAATAATGAATAATGTCAAGCAGTCCCGCTTGCATTTCCTCTCAAACAAGTAACACTACAAACATTGGATTATTTTTTTACAGATGCAGGAGTGAGCATCTTTAAGCTTGAGTAAGGCCGTCCTATTTAGCATATGACTCAGGAACAGCCTAATTTGCTGTCAGTGTGTGCAAATGAGCGATGGCACTGTTATCAGGAGCGTCTGTTGTTAAAGCAGTAGTGTCCCTCGTGCATTACACACACTTAGAAGTGTCTAGTGCTGTTTCTCTTCACATCCCATCCTGATTGAGCGCTACAGTGGCTTGTAAAATACACTGCAAGCTGCCAACCCCTTTATGTGACCTATTTCCATAATTTACATTTTTAAACAAAGCTCCATGGAGCTCAGCAGTTCTTTCAAATGGTTGTGCGGGGAGATCCTCGAGGAGCAGCTTCCCTTTTCACAAACACAGAATAACAAATAAACAAACGACTACAGAAACTAATGAGAATTGTTTGTTTCTTTCCAAATCACAGACGTTTGTGAGCTTGAGGCAATTTAACCTACCACAGTGTTTAGGAGAAGAGATTAAATAAGAGGGCTCCTGATCTTCTTGGGGAGACGCTTGTACAGTTAAACTATTTTGGATCTCATTAGACATTGATAATTCCCTTGCAGATTCTTCAGTTGAGTGTATTTTTCTGACCTTCAGGAGGTTGAAATGACGTATTTCTCGACTTACCATCCACACAACAAGCTACCAAGCTTACAGTCCCCCCCCTCCTCCTCCACCTCCTCCAGCCCCCACCTCTCCCTTGTTGCCATGGATACACACTCTCATCTCTGGAAATGAGAAATGGGAGGTGGAAAGGAGAGTGAGAGAACGAGAGAGGGGAAAGTGAGGAAAGAAGGGAGATTGTGCAGAGATGATGAGAGCGCAGCGGAGGAAAGATGGAGGCACAGAGTGCGGAGGAAAGTGTTTAAAAATGAGGAAAGAACAAAGCAAACAAAGAAGTGGACATGTTTTCTATTTTGAGAAAAACACATCCCCGCAGAGGACTGTCAGTTTCATTATCCACTGTCAAAACATATATTTACCCATCGCAGATAAAGACAGAATTGAAGGCAAATTTGCTGTGGGAGTTATTTTTGGATATGTTTTTTGATCCGCCGGATTTACCTCCAGCTTGCATTTGCCCTTCTAATACCAAGGGAGGAGAGGGGAAAGTAATTCAATTATTTAAACTTGGTTATGCTACAAACAGTCTCTGAAGGCTGACAATAAAACTGCTTGTCTCCTAAGGCTTTGCCGGGGTGATTCTAAACATGAATTGAGTATTCAGTAACAATAATAACTCTTGTGCACACTCAACTCATACACAAACTTACCAACTTGACTCTGGAGTTCTCTGCTCTTTCATACTGAACATGACGTTTATGCTTCGTGATACATGAAGTCAGGTAGCATCTTCATGCCAAATACTGCTGAGATGCTCACACCCATGAATATAGCTACATTCACCTGTCAGACTAAAGCCCCCCTCTGGACAAAACACCCAATACTATCAGTGACAATTGGCCTTCATTTCCGGGACCCCATGCTCTGCAGTGCTAACAGTATTTGTTCTCTCCAGATCAGATTTGCAATAATGATATTTCCTATTTCTGGTGTGATGCTATGTGAGGCACATCAATACATAGGAAATAAAATAAGCATGAATTTGAACAATTATCTATTACTGTGCAAAACATTCAATAATATACTGTATATGCTCTCAATGCCACAGTCAGACAAAAATAATATATACTCGCTGATCATAACGGAAACAATTCAATTAAACTGCCAGAACTCCTAAAAAACGGTCTCTTTCCACTGTTCCAACTATCCCCGAATCTGGTTTGAGAGTCTTAAAGAGGGACTTCATAAAAAACAGGAAAAATAAAGTACATCTCCTTCTAGCAGTCTTTCACTGTATTTAAAGAACTTGAGCCTATTTTGGTGGAAAAAAGGTCAATGTGTTTTCTGTGAGATTATGTATCCAAAATTAGAACACACATGTTCAAGAAAACCATTTTTTTCCCCAAAAAACTCCCACAGGCTGCGGTCAGGAATCCAGCAGCTGTGTTGCTAAAGCTTTAAATCTCCGATAAGGCAGTCATGAGAGAAGGGATTTTTCAGTTAAACATTCATGCGGAGACAATACAGACTGCTCATGCCGAGGATTATAAATAATTACACAAGATTATGAAAGAACAATACGTAAATAATAATTTGGTGGGGAAATGGAATTGTGAAAAAGCACAAAAGAAGTGCGAGTTTATCTCTGTTTTATATTCCTCACCCTTGTCTCTCCCTTAGGAAATAAGTGTCTCTGCAGAAAAGGTCACAATTTAAATGACTTGGTCTCTCTATCTGACCCTGCCATTTCTATTCTCTCCTCTGCCTAAAGGTGTGATTCTGGGAGTGGAAAGGTCGGCCCCCTCCTGAGCAGGACTTCACTCTCCAACTTCGCAGCCAGAAAGGGATGGACCGAAGTCCCAAGCACTCGCCTGGATAAGGGAACAACCTACACTCCACCGTCCCTGCACACCCGTTCTGTGCCAATCATCCCTTCTCTCCAAGCATGTGACCTCGAGGCGGGGAATGTGTTCACGAGTGGGCGAAACCAAGGGGGGCTACTGAAGTGGCGTCCCGCACTGGCTGGAAAGACAGCCATGCCCAAGAGCTCTTCTTCCTCTCGGCCCCGTGAGACTGTGGTTCTGGATCCTGTAGTTATGCCCCGCGGTGTTAGCCCTCCTGCCACCATCACCGTCACACTGGGGTCGGAAAAGAATCTCAGCTCCTCACAAACCGTTGGAATTACACTGGAAATAGAGCAGGAATTAAAACATAAAAGCCTTTCCAACACCATAAAAATGTTAGGGTCTCAAAGCGAGGTCCACCGCGGTGGCACAAACACTCTCGAGGCCGGAGCTGTGCAGGAGTCCGAAGGGAAAATTGTCCAATATCCAGCCAGAGTTCTGCACACAGGCGGTGTAACCAGAGGTCTGAAGGCAGCAGGCCAAAGAGAAACCCAGGGACGGTGCCAAGGTCAGACGTCCCTCGTGTACGGAGGCGCAAACTACTCCTTGGCCACCAAAGGACCCAGCTGCAGAGGAACTGGAAATGCTTATGCCAAACCCTCTGCAAGCTGATTGGATTAACTCTGTAAAGCGTCAACAACACTGTTTCCAATAACTGTATACCTTTGCGGGTGGCACAAGATGGTTAGCAGGTGGCAGCATCTTTGTGGCCAAACGGACCAATAACAGATGGCCGACGATTTTAAAACGAACACGAACAGATTAATTCTGCAGACGGAAAAAATATTGACACTGCAAAAGACTTGAAACAAAGACAAACAAACACACATTGTGAATACATGTGACTCAATAAGGAAAACAAAAACCGTGACTTGAGTGGGAGCTTGACTTAAACAGTGTATTGAAAAAAATGCCACTATTTAAAAGGAGCTTCTACTTAGAAACCAAAATAGTGTGTCATCTCTATGTTGTTTCGCTATTGTAAAGAAATGAAATTATATATGTCATATAATATATGTCATATAGACGTATATATATTTGACATACAATTGTGACAAAATAAAGACTAAGATAAACAGTGTTAAATAAGGGCTTTGTTTATCTCAAATCATTTTTTATTTCATGACGTAAAGAATGTCTTTGTTTGTGTTTCTAAAATGACTTCACTGCACATTATTTCAGTTGTTTCTTTATCTCCATGACAACAGGTAAAGATGAAAAAAACACAATATACCAACAAAGGCAATATCTGAGCGGAGGATAATAGTTAAAGGTTTGGAGATGGAACGCTAACACTGTTTATGGGAATTTCACCTTATACTTATTTCCCATGATGCACTTTAAATTGTATCCATAGGCTATAAACACAAAAGGAGATTAACAGCACTGTTTGGAATTATAACAATGGCCATGAGGTTTCTGGATGGAAATGAAGCAAGCCGAGTAGAATTATTTAGTCAAGCCTCATTTACGTCAAATTCAGTATATGTGAGTTTCCTCCCTTTCAGGTTCGCAATGACTGCTGGCGAGGTAAGTTATACACGACTTACAAATGGGTATTATTGAGACTTCTTCATCCCTACTCTGTAGAATAAAACCATCTTGACTCCATAAGAAGGTTTTTATGAAGATTAAATTGAACTTCATTGATCTCCGAGGGGAAATGGTGCCAAGGCAGCTGCGAAGGAAAGATAAAATTACCATTAGTAGAAAATATTTAGGATTCTAAATACATTCAGTCACCACACAGTCACTAAATATGAATCATTTTAAGAGAGACCATGACATTGTATATTGTGGTTTTTCATTGCAGGCATCTTTTACCAAGAGATTATAGTATGCTTTAAAACTCTATCCTCCATATGGCTGAATCTGACATGTCACCATACACTCGTAGTGGGCAGGTGCACATACATTATAATATTGCTCCTTAACTGCTGGATTTGTACATCAGCAACCAACCATTTGATCACCATATGAACTTGACAGGTGATATATCAAAGCTTGTTGCCAATGTCCCCTAGTAGCCCAAAGATACTTGATCTGATATTAACCTGTGAAAGCACATCATAAAGTATGAGACATTCATCCTGAACAGCACTGTATTCTAGTCTAAACACTACCTGTGCATTGACACAATGGCAGATTTCTAATGAGAGGCAATGTAGATTTGAATAGGAAGGGATCAGTCTTTGATCACAGTTTGCACGAAAAGCTGGGAAAACACCTTTTGAAGCACTAGTCGAAGGAATGGTGACTAACTGGGCCAAGGAATCAGAGGAAAACCCGCCTGAAGCTACGGTGACTTTGTGAACTGTCGCTGTTAATCAAGACACAGGAAATGAGAACACTGTGAATGAGCTGCACCCAAGGTTCAGTCAATGGAACAGTGACTTTCATCTCACATTGTTTCACATCGTTTAGACCTGTATTAGAAGTTCAAAAACAGATATTCCAAGATATTATATGTTTTGAAAATCATGAAAGAGTTTACACTTTTATCTCAATCAGGAGAGATTTATTTGTTAACATGTAAACAAGACCGTAGAAATGTGAACAGTCTTTGGGGATTGGACCACATCGTGATATGATGTATCTTATGGATAAAATAGGAAACCCCCCATCCCAGGGGATCACTTCTGATAAGCTTAACCTGGGCCCTGGAGGTGGAGGGGTGGAGAAGAGTTGCAGCCATTACACTTAAAATGACAGTTGATGGCAAGAGAGAGGAGAACAGATTTAAAGTTTGTGTGCACACAGCGATGATTGGCTGTTGGAAATCAGGGCAAAATGCAGTTGGTTAGCTAAAAGACTGACGCCCCTGATTAGCTAATTGGAGGCAGCTGGGCAAGTGAGACAGAGATTTAATTTAGAAGGCAGTCTTCCTGATTGAACTTGCTCTGAGCTTCATGTCATTGGAAACAGGAATTTTAGCCCACGCCTAACAATTGTGGGTCTGTTTAGGCACAACATGAGTGGATGCTGCTGACTTTGTGAGGGGGTGGCAACACACAAGCAAGGACAACAAACATGAAGATTAAAAAACAAGTGTTTCTATTACCTGAAATGAGCCAGGTTTTGTTGGGGGTGGGCTCTCTGGCCATTTGATTAATCCTCATCGTTGTTGACTCTTATTCTTCAGAGGAATGTCACACACACACACACACACACACACACACACACATACATACACACACTGCTCTCCCTCGGTTAGTGTGAGAGAGGACTACTAATGTGCCAGAGGTGTTTGGGGACAGTGAGGTTCCCGCCAGATGGCATGAAAATTATGAGGCCAGCATGTGTAATGCAGCACAACCAGTGTGGATGTCTGCTAACATCTATCACCAGTTCCCCTCGACGTGGGATATCAGGTAATATTTAGCATATCCAGGGGTAGTGTCAATACAGTGGCAGTTTATATTCCTGTAAGGAAATATGGTTTGTTGGGTGACGACTCGGATGCCATGAGTGCAGCACATGTATCAGTTCAAGCGGGATCTCTTGTTGTACAACCATCAAATCGACCAAAAAACAATGAAACATAAAGCTAATCTGTCTGTGCACAATGTGGTGGGGCTTCTCTCTAACACTTATTTTCTTGCCATCTGCCCTGTACAATATATATTTCATTGTCCTGTGTGGGAGGAGAGGTGGGAATCTATCGGCATTCACAGAATAGCATAAAGTGTGTTATTTTAATATTTAAAAATAATTTCATAAGAGCAATGGTTTTTAACTTTGCTACGGGCATGGCTCTTGGGATGGAAATGTCAGTTGCTATCTCCATCATAGGGCTCACAAAAGTTGGTCTGAGTGAAATGTCTCAACTATTGAAATGTGTGAAGAACATTCCTGCCCCTTCAAAATGAGTTGTAATAACTTCCCTTAACTTTTAATTAAGTGGCATACCAAAGACATCAGCCTCAGTTGTGTTAAGAGCGAACCTTTCTCAAAAGTTAGCATACTAAGATTTTGTTGTGGATACAATAGGTAACCAATCTTTTGCTTCCATTGTCTGTCCCTTCGTAGGCGACTGCTTTTACCATAAGTGGTTTGTCCCTGTATGACTCTTTACAACGGTATAAAATCATGAGCCAATAGAATACCTTTCTGTTTCAGTCAGAGAACCTTAAAGGACCTGACATTTACCATTGACAGTTTTGACAGCTGATTTCTCTCCATTTAGTTCCACTGTTGCTGGGATCATTTTCCCATTAGGGCCACTTGCAGTATATCAGTATATTATTAAACAATGTACAGCAGTTAGCATTAAGTCAATGGAGCAATGCATTTTCTGCAATGTTGCCCAGACATTGTGGGCTAAAATCAATAAGCAAATGATTATAATGACAAATTATATGAATTGCTCACCAGGCTGGCAACGAAGATAATTCATTCTGAGCAAAAGTGCACATAACTATATGAGATACTTTGGTTGCTTTCCCTTTTCATAAAGCTCAAAATACAACGCAGACTAAGGCATGTTTTTGATTCTGTAAAAAGTTCATGCTGTCATTATTGGCATTCAGTGGTGGTGGGTCAAACTTGACATGAGCTCTTGAATGCCAATAAAGAACCAGCATGCCAATTTTTTTTACGGCTTTCTGAAACCACAGTGCAAAAGCCCTATGTATTTTGAAACATACTTGGATCATTAAGCATACCATCAGGGAATCATATTTCCATGTGTTTAAGTTTAAGCTCACACTAGCCAGCCCAGACATATGGACGAGGGAGAACTAATTAAAACATCCAAAAAACATCCTGTAAAATTATTCTGTTGGGTTCTACTACTGCCCTGCGGTTGGCAGAATACATGTTCTGCGTGCAGAGAAAATACCTCGTACCTCAAGTAGTCACATCAAGAGTAATGTCCAATGTGGGTTTTTTATGAACGTATGAGCTACTGGTACATTTATTATAAAGCAACTGATATTTAAATAAATTCTTACGTGATGCAATTGCTTGGCTTGTGGGTAAACGTGTCCTATGTTAAATGACTCATTGGGTTACAGGTTTAAGCCAGGCTAGTGCAATGTTTTGACAAGAGAAGAGAAGGCAAAGGAAAGAAACATCTCCAAGCGTTTGTAAATTAAACATGAAACGAGACAGTGAATGTTAACATGTAAAAAAGGTCAAGAAGGGCAACGCTGTTGACTTAGATTGGGAGCTAATAATGTCTCCCTGGCTGTGTAGTTTGTTTTGTGTTTAATGGTACATGTCATCTTTGACCCAACAAGCCAAAGACATACAGTTTAATGAGGACCAGATGCCTTACAAGGATCGCAGTCAAAGGGGCTTTGTCTGGTAATAATACTGGTAGAGTCTGTAGGTGGACCCCCTAGGTGTAACATGGGTCAGAGGCTGTTATTCCTCAAACTGTGCCACATAATGACTTGACAATAGTGGGGAAAAAATACAGACGGAATAAAGACTTTGGAATGACAACATGTTGATAATCGGCCATGCCATTGAAAACAGATTGGTTAAAAACATGACAAATCTGTTCCTGTTTGGCACTCATTTGCAACCAGTGTTGTATTGAAAGATGTCTTAAGACCAATAAGCATGCTTCTTCATTGAAAACATTATATTCATACACAATTTTATATATATTTGAGTAGTAATGGCAGCAGAGAACTTCATTATTTAAAAAAAGTTGTAGCGGGTATTAATAATAATAATAATAATAATAATAATAATAATAATACACTTTTTGTATGGCACCTTTCATGCACAAAGCAGACCAAAGTGTTTTACAGAAAGCATAACAACAATATTAAAATAATATTAAAATAAATACAGAACAAGAAAACATCTACAGTGATCCTAATGAAATTCCCTTGAGTTAAAGCTGACAAGAAATTAAAATAGGTTAAAATAAAACAATTTTAAAAAGAAAATGTAAAAATGTAAGATAAAAGCAAAACAGAAAAAATAAAGTAAAACATGGACAATGACACTAGTGAGAATAGAAAGTTAACCCGAATTAAAAGCCATTAAAGCCAAGTATTGATTAAAGATTTGTGGTAGTTCAATGAAGCAGACACTCTCTGAATGCAGAAACAGAA